TCATAATTTGGCCCGTGCGGTGCGGGGCGGATGCATGCTAGAAGCATGGCTATGTGTGGCCCGTTTCTTATAAGGGCTTTATTTTTTAAAAAGTACTTTCTGATCTTGGCTTTGGATGACAAAAAAAAAAAAAAAAAAAAAAAACCAGAGAGCGACAAAATGGCAAGCACCCACACGAACCCGAGCAAACGGCCCCACCATTCGTTGGCATTGGTAGCCTTTATATTGGCCACGAGCCAAAAAGGCATGTCATGGATAAAGGGAAAGCAAGAGCAAATGCAAAGAGTGAACGAGAGCGAGATAGAGAGAGAGAAAGAAAGAGAGAGAGAGAGAGAGAGAGAGAGAGAGAGAGAGAGAGAGAGAGAGAGAGAGAGAGGGAGAGAGAGAGAGAGAGAGAGAGAGAAAGAGAGAGGGAGAGAGGGAGAGAGAGAGCGAGAGGGGAGAGAGAGGCGAACCGCGTCACACATGGGTGACAAACGATGATTAAGACTTGTTGATGTGTCTACGCACGCGTTATCGCATGCACATTCCCGAGACACGATGGCTTGCATTCTAACACCTCTGCGCCATTGTCACTCGGCAAACATGCAGAGATAACACGACACGAGACGCTAGGCGACGGAGATCCGTACGAGTTCGCCGTCACTGACAAATCTGTCACGCAAATGCGCGGGCGGCTTCGCGCAACCCTTGCATGGTGGAGCTCGTGGTGCCCCAGCAGCCTCATCCTCTCCGTCATCGCTAACGGTTACTGGCTGCCATGGAGCCACAACCCACCACAACCGTTTCACGAGCGCAACCACCTCGGGGCGCACACGGATGCTGCGTTCACACGCACTGCCATTCGCGAACTTACCGAGACCGGCGCGGCGGTGGTCACCCCAGCAGCGGAGCTCACATGCATAAGCCCACTCAACCTGGTTGAGCAACGAGAAAAATGCAGGCTAATCCTCGACCTCAGAAAAGTGAACGCGCACCTGACCATCCCTAAATTCAAATACGAAGGCCTAAGCCGCGTGGCCGACCTGGCACGCATGGGAGATTGGATGTTCTCCATCGACCTCAAATCGGGATACCACCATATCGACATACACAACTCTTGCTGGAAATTCTTGGGCTTCGAATTTGAAGGGCGTACGTACGCCTTCCGTTCCCTACCCTTTGGCCTCGCCACGGCACCATTTGTCTTCACGCAGCTCATCAAACAACTAGCCAGGCGCTGGCGTGAACAAGGCGTTCGAGTGATACCCTATGTGGACGACATCCTGTTCTTATGCACGTCCAAGGCCCACGCACAAGCAACATGCCAGCATATAATTTCGGACCTCAAGATGGCGGGCTTGGTGATTAACGCGAAAAAGTCGCAGCTGCTGCCATCCCAACATCTGCGATTCTTGGGCGTCGAGTTGGACACCAAATCCGGTCAATTCTCAATTGGCACCGATCGACGGGCATCACTTCACGCACACATTCGGAACCTACTGGACGCAAGCAAAGCGCGCCGACAGGTTCCAGTCCGCCACCTGGCCAGAATCACCGGCACACTCGCGTCGATGGCCGTCGCACTCGGCGCCACGACGCGTGCATTCAGCCACGCCATGCTACAAGCAATTAACGACGCGCCATCCTGGGGAAGCAGCTTGAGCATTTCCCCCCCCGTTGCTGAAGAGTTGCAGTTCTGGCTTGAAGAGTTCGACAAATTTAATGGCGCACCATTCCACGTTCGGAATAGTTATGACGCAGTAATTCACGTGGACGCCAGCTCTCATAGTTGGGGCGCCACCCTTCTCACCTTCCCTGGTGAACTCGAAGAGGCAAGCGCAGCCATGCCAGAACCATTGCGAATGACGTCCAGCACTCGGAGGGAAATTGAAGGCGTCCTTTGGGCCCTTCGAACGTACGCGAACAAGGTTCAGCAAAAACACGTGCTCGTGAGGGTGGACAACCAAGGGGTCTTTTTCATCCTCCGCAAAGGCGGCTCTCGCACCCCCGACCTCACCACCGCTTGCAAGGACATCATCCGCACGTGCATGGAGCTCGGCACTCGATTAATTGTTGAATGGATCCCGCGCGAGCTAAACTCCCATGCAGATGAGCTGTCCAAAATGATCGACCACGACGATTACTCCTTGAAACAACCATGGTTCCGCATCCTCAATCGTCGTTGGGGTCCCCACTCAATCGACCTTTTCGCAAGCCCAAACAACTCGCAACTGCCACGATTCTGCTCAAAGATACCACACCCGGAGGCCACTGCAATCGACGCATTCTCGATTTCATGGTCGACCGAGAATGGCTTCGCGTTCCCGCCACCCCAGTTAATCCCAGCAGTCATCCACCACGCACAACGCACCCACGCTACACTCACCCTCGTTGTCCCACATTGGCCAGGGGCAACCTGGTGGCCGCTCCTACAACCCTCCCCACCTAGCTGGGCCCCGCATATCCAAGCACAAATTCCCTTGACGCACGGCAGCCAATGTTTAGCAGTAGGCTCGCACCGCACCGCTTTCTCAGGCACAGGATTGCCTCATAGTACAATCGTCGCATTACGAGTGGTCTTCAACTAACCCATCTCGTCCTCCTTCGCGCAGACATACTGCCAAAGCTACAAGTACAGCTTCTAAAGATGCTCTCACAGTCTAGTGCTGACTCAACGATCCAAACGTACGAGCCATACTGGGTCAAGTTTCGAGCCTTCTGTGCAAAGGTGGACCTCCCATTCCTCCCCGCGGCAGACATGACCCTCGCACTATACCTGGTGTACGCCATCAAACGCAAGGCCACCCTATCCATGGTACAACTCACCTGCTCAGCCGTGAGCTTCGCCCACCGCATGACTGGGAGCGCATGCCCAACGGCAGGACCATTCACCACTCAAGTACGCGACTTTGCGAAACGACACTGTCCTCGCCCCACGAGAGTGAAGGAGCCAGTCTTGCTGCAACAAGTCCGTGACATGTCGGCAGGATACCTGCGATCTGACAACCCCGGCGAATTCCAAAAGGGGCTCATCCCCATTATCATGTACTCCGGATTCCTGCGATACTCAGACCTCGTCGCCATCGAGTGGCAAGACATCCAGTTTGACGACGAGGTCATGTGGATCCTAATTCCGTACTCCAAGACGGACCAAGCTGGAAAAGGCACATGGATACCTATCGCCGCAACACACGATCCGTTCTGCCCTGTCCGCGGCACTCAACGACTCATTCGACTCGCCGGATATGATCAGCAATCAAGGGGGCCGCTGATTCGCACCTTCGGTCATGGTTCCACCCAAGGTGGCCAATCAAGGCCACCGTCGTATCCGACAATCCGAAACTGGTGCAAAGAGGCCTTTGGGAAGATCGGACTTGGAGAACAACAGCTGGGCACTCATTCCTTTCGCAAGGGTGCAGCCACTGCCGCGGCAAACACCGGCGTGCCAGACAGAATCTTCAAACGGCTGGGCCGATGGCGTAGTGACGCAGCCAAGGAGATGTACGTCACGCCAAATGCCGAACATCTCATCAACGCCTCCCGCCAGTTGCAGGACCTGAATCATGCCCCGTCCTCAGCACAGCACGCAGAGGCACTCACCCGTCATCGGAAGCCCCGGCTACCCATGTCTCAAGAACCCCAGTTGAAATGAGAACGATGCCAAATGATAAGTAAGAGAAAGCAAGCTTTCTAAATATTATAATTTTTAAACACACGAAGTGTTTTTCAAAATTACGTATTTCGAAAGCGCAGCTGCTTGTAACGCATGTTTTGGCATCGTCGAAGCGCGCTAAACGCCCTTCTCCAACTACAAATCGTGGGTTGGAGCTCATTTCCCTCCACCCACGTCTCTCGTTTTCCAACGGCTCATGCAACTCTCCCACCCCCCGCCCCAACACTGACGGGCATCATCGACGCTGCTTGAACGAGAAGATCGATAGCTTGTAGCATGATAGACATCAAGTAGCATGATGAATCGCTAGTACAATGATTGATACGCAGTATAGTAACATGTACTAGCACTTCTGTTTCCTAGCTCGAGGTGCATGTTGTAATTTGCCAGTTGAAATGAGAACGATGCCAAATGATAAGTAAGAGAAAGCAAGCTTTCTAAATGCGATGCATAAGTGGAAACATAGAAGTTCCACTTCCAGAACCCTCATATTTTGAAAGCTCCTATATATAACAGTACCATATCTTATTACATATGACATACACTAGGGCACAGGCTTTCTACCATGGTAAGCCGGTAGTTTCATAAATACGGTATCAGAGGTGCAGCAGAGCAAGGGCGGAAGATACAGAAATGGTGGTTGAGCATGAGGGTGTAGGTGGTGCTGCCAAGAAGAATAGAGAGAAAACTGCAGCCATACAGGAGAGGTGGTGCTGTAGCAAGCAAAAAGAAAAAACGACAACGAAAAGGAGGAAAATACCAGTGGCAGGGGCCTAGCACCAGATAGAAGGGAGGAAAAGAGAGAAGGGAAAACACAACCTAAGCAGATGAAAAGTATACTAGCAAGTATAGACCATGATGGGAACCAGCTAAAACCATGGTGGAGGATGACTCATAAGCTGAGTAAGGAGTTGATGATAGCCTTCGGACTATGGAGGCAATATTATAAGTGGTGGTATGGCCAGCAAAGTGGCCTTGTGTGGCTAGCTATAAGAAGGGATGGCTGCTGCTGCTGCTGCTACTGCTGCTGGTGTGATTCACATGTCGATGGGCTGAACCAGCACAAGCCTCCAGCCCTGGCAGCGAAATGAGAAGAGAGCTGGGGCCGTAGATGCTGGTGCAGTGTGAAGTAACAGGTGGACCGAGGGCGTGAATAGGGTGAAACAAGCACGCATGCGCCCAGCAGGAACCGGACTGCAAGGAAAAAATGAACACAGGAGCAGCAGGAGGAGCAGAAGGACAGCAGCGACAGGAGTGGCACGAGTAGCTAGGACATAGCGGTGGTGTAGCCATGCAGTGCCGTGGTGTGCGGGGGGTTTCCCTGTGCCCAGGAGCCACCAAGGAGCTACGAGTCCAGGAAAAGATGGTCGGGGATATCTGCTGGGGCTGGCAGCAGAGCTACGCCTTGGAACTGCAGGCACAGGAGAGATTGGAAGGAGGACAAATAGACAGAAATACATGCAATGAGAAATGTGACCCACACATCAACAACAAGCAGAATGGAGACGAGGTCGAGGGGGACAGAGAGAGGGGGAGATGGGAAGATAGTGGGGCGGGAAGGGTGCTAGGGTGAGAGCGGGGACTAACTAGAGGTGATGCATGAATGAGCACCTTAGGCTGGCGGTATTTCTCCCGAATGGCAGGGAGCGTGCAGCCTTTGACGTTGCGCTGCAAGTCATAGAGCGCCATCACTGCCTCCTTGAGTTGTGAGGGCGCATACCCCGTGTAGTGCTGCAGTGTTGCATCCTGCCATCCAAAGAAAACAAGTGTCGAGAGAAAACGCAATACCAACGCACTGAGCACAATGCAAAGACGACAGTGGATCTGCTACTTGGGATGAATGAAGCAATAGCAACAGCCGTTTGAAGGCAGAAGAGTGTAATCAAGCGAGGGGCCCACTTACCCAGGGTGGAAGGGCCGGGTAGAGTGTGAGCTTGGCAAGGAAAACGGCTGCCGCAGCAATTTGCGAGGGGAGGAAGCGCAGGCAGGGGTAGTCAACGAGTGTGAGCTCTGCAAAGTAGTTGCCCAGGAACTCCAGGTGGTGCTGGGGACTCTGCCATTTGAACAGGCATACAAAGAGCAACAGAAAGAAACAGGAAATATAGAAAACGGACAAGAAAAATGGGCGTGTGAGAAACAAGGAGCAGAGATCAGGATGGATAAGCCCGGTGGGCACAAGGGCAACAAAAAGGGATGCGAATGGATTGAGCTGAGGAGGTGGAGCAGGAGAGGAGGAATGAGAAGACAGACTCGCTTTATCACGCAACAAAAAACCAGCAAGGCATGGCACGGGTTGGAAAAAAGCGTGCTGCTGCTTACCGGAAGGGTGGCTTGGGCGGCTTTGATGAAGCGCCTGAGGAAGCTCTTGACGGTGGGCGTGCTGAGGTCGAAGTGCAGCACGGCGAGCACGTGGCGCTCCATGAGCAGCACCTCGTGGCGGCGGTACGTGTTGTCCGTGATGTAGCAGAACTCGTCCACCTGCGGCGCGTAAATCTCCTCGTACTTGCTGCCACACATGGGAAAAGACGGAGGGGGGAGTGGGCGCAGGGGTGGAGGCGGGGGAGGACGGGGCAGGGAACAGGGGAAGGCATGATTAGGTAGCGAGAAAACGGGTTAGGAGTGGGAGCAGGTCATGGGGCATGAGGGGACAACGGGAGGGGGAGGGAGAGAAAGGAATGGGGAGAAAAGGTCATGGGATACAAGGCGAGGCGGGAATGGATGCAGAGGAGCTGAAAGCACGAGGGAAGGGGGATGGGACGAGGCAGATGACTCTCACGAGGCAATGAAAATGGAGGCAATGCCAGGAGAAGAGAGAGGAGGGCAGTGGGGCCTTACGAGGCGATGAGCATGGAGGCGATGCCGAGGAGCTGCAGGTGGTTGCGGGTGACGGTGGCGTGGGAGAGGAAGCGGTCGATGTAGGCGGCGGTGAGGAAGAGCGTGTCGGGCACGAGCTTGTACTCCTCCGCCACCTCCACCAGCCAGTCCATCAGAATGCCCCGCATCGCCGCGCTTATGTCGCCCCCCCTCCCCTCCTCCAGCGCCATCACAGGTCGGTGCCGCCGCTGCACGGGGAATGGGGACGGGAGGGGGTGGGGGAATGGGGGGAATGGGGAGGGAAAAAAGAAGAGGGGACGGAACAGGACGGGGGAGGGGGGGGGGGGGGGGGGGTGGTTGAACAGAGTTAGTACGGAAGTTAGTACTCGGCGTTCTGCAGCGGCGAGGAGACAACGGAGATTGAGAAGCGAGCGGGCGAGTGCGCGAGCGCGAGGGGGAGGAGAGGCAGATCGACTAACCTCGCCATCTCTCAGGTTCGCGTAGATCTCCGCGGCATACTTGGTGCACATCTGCGGATCCCCGTGCGCCGAGTCGATATTCCTGACCTTCGCCGCATCAACCCCCGCGCCCGCGTCCGGCGCGCCAACACCCGCCACCGCCTGCACGTCAGCATCACGGATCTCCACCGCTTGCGCCCACTGACTGCTGTTGGCGGAAACGGAGGGATGAGCCGCTTCCGCCAGGCGCGCTTCCCCCGACGTCCCCTCCGGCGGACCCTCCGTCAAGGTCCCTTCCATGTCGCCCTGGCGCTCCCCGTCTCTCCCGGAAACGACGCTGGAAATACACAGCACCCGCTCCGTCTTCCGGTTGATGGAATCCATTGCCGCCGCGCTCGCTTGCGCCTGCGCCTGCTCCGCGCTTCCCATTACGTCCCCCGCGCCACCCACGCTCCCGGCGCTGCCGCCACCGCTGCTGCTGCTGGGTAGGAGAAGCGTAAGAGTCGTCGTCGGCGGGACAGCCGCGTTGGAAGTCGCGGGAATGGCGGCGCAATGCACGGCGGAAAACGGAACGGGGTGGTGTAACGCCGCTTCTGCCGCCGCCATCACCGTAGACGCAGCCGCTGCTTCTGCCGTCGTCACTGGTACAGCGGAATCGCTGAAGCCAGTCGATCTGTCCGTCGCAGCGCTATGCTGCGGAACGTGCGCCGCGAGATGGCTATAGCCATGCCCATGCGAGAGGCCGTTGAACACCGGAACTGACACGTAACCGTTCGCGCTTCCCCCTGCTGTCTCCGCCGTCTCCCCATACCGTGCCTGGTGCCTCTCCACCGATCCGCCGATGCTGCCCTCAGTAGAGAGCAGCGCAGCTTCCGCCAGGTAGGCCTGCTCGTGCGCGCGCCAATGAAGGTGCTCTTCCCCTGGCGCTCGCGCTGGCGCGTGCGCATGATTGTGCGGAAGCCGGTGCTGCGGTTGCACTTGCGCTTGCGTGAACGCAAACGCCGCTGCTGCGGATCCGGAAGCATGCAACTCCGGGAATAGCAAACCCCCGTCATTCACGGCGGGCATTCCGGGGCATGATGACTTCGCGTCAACTCGGAGCCATGGCCCATCCTGGGGGTGGGAATGCCCGGCAATGGCTCCTCCGGAGGTTGCGGAAGCGCCTGCTAGCTCCGCTGCTCCTGGCGCGGCGACCGCGCGAACGCGAGTTGGGGAAGTAGGACACGCGAATGGCGCGGGGAGATCGCGGAGATCAGGGAGCCTTCCACCGCTACATTGACTACGTTCCGACTGCTGATGCTGATGCTGCTGACGCTGTTCCTGTTGATGATGTTGATGCTGATGCGACGGTCGCAGCGACTGGGCCTGGTCGCCATGAGACGCAGATATGGCGACGACCGTGTGCTGCTTCCGTGCGACGGCTTGCGACGCTTGCTGCGACGTCGATCGTGTGACTCTGGTGCATGCAGCAGTCGCTGCAGTTGCAGCCGAACCGTGACGCTTCTTAGCCGACCGCATGTGGCTCGATCCTCGGGTCTTCTTACGTGTCTGATCCTGGAAAACGAAGGAAACAAGCTATACGTCAGATAAAGCAGAAGCGGACGACGGAAAAAAAAGGAGCCATGTTAAGTAGTCGTGACGAGTAACGTCCACTTTCTGACGACTTTCCGACGCTGAGGTAGTGTTATCTTGACCTCAACACTTCGGATCTACGACCACTTCCTATCGTGACGATTATTGCCGCGCAAGAACTTGATCAACAATGGCTGGTTTAACGTTACCGGATCCAGTAGAACCAAACATCGCTGGTCTGAGACACGGTGACGGAATGCGACATTCCGAGAAACGATTAACAATGAAATAGCGACACAGGTTTCGTGAAATTATGAATGCTGGAACCAGAGAAGCAGAGCCATCGTAAGTAACCATAGACCTCAATAAGAGGAATCGTCGGTGTATTTTGGAATGGACTGGATTACTGGTGACAAAAATAGTCAAATCCACAGTCAAGTCGCTCAACTGACTCTCGACAATCTCCGAAATGCGACCGGTTCACGACGGGGAATCATGGCTTCACGAGCGAGATTAGCGCAATAATATCATGCTGTGTGAGATGCAATCACTCGAGGCGATCGGGACATGGCATCGGAACGAACTTGGGATGGAGAGCTGACTGCCGACGGAGCAACGTGGTTCGTCCGATTCGACAAAGCTTGACGCTTGTTGTTGGCGAAAGAAGCATCAGACGGTCGCTTTGCGGAGCCTCGACCCCCAGCATCCTGAGCCTTGCTCGGAGGACTGGGAGTCATGGCACGAAACGACGCCATGACAGGCGTAAGAAGTCTGAGGAACACGCTTCGAGAACCAGAGTCTGCTAGAACTATCTCAGGAACCAGTCCAGCATGAGGAATGGCCGAATGTCTTGTTACCCACAAACAACTCACGGATAAACTAAATGGGAAAAGTGAGAGCAGTTTACACTTCGAAGCTGCCAGCACCAGCAGCACCCTCTATGCTCCTGATTAACACTAGACATAAAAAATCAATTTGAACCGAACAAGGCTCAGGTCAGGGTGTGCGAGAAGTGAATTGGTCCGCGATGGAGGGCGGAACAGTGTGTTTGTGCAGATCAAGAGGGCGACAAAGGCGCGTAGTTCAGGCTCCAGAGATGGTGGCAGTGGCAGAACCAAGGACAGAAAACCAGAGGCGCGCCAGGACGGAAGGACAGGAGGAGGTTGCGGGGGAAACGGACTGGCGGGGCCGGAGCGTGCCAGGCCAAACCAAGCCAGGTTCACCAGGACAGGGGCGGCGGAGAAGAAAAAGTTTTGCAGCCTTGGCCAGAGAGGCATGGCGGTGACCATGGTTTGCAAGTCGCATGCTTCCCTGGATGGATGGCGGCGCTGGTGGAATCCCCTTCCCTATGGAGTGCTGCATGGCAGAGTCTGGAGATCCAGTGAATCATCAGCCAGGCCTGAGGGAGTTTCCAGCTGTACCCGGAAGATAATATGTTCAGTAAAACTATGCCTTGCGGTAATTTTCTGGAGCAAGCTTCACAGGACAAATGTCTCGTCACCGTTCTCCTGGGCCGCCCAAACCTTTGGTTTGACCTGCATTTGTGTATGAAACATAGCCAAGAAGTGCATGCGACGTATACTCACACCTATTATTATTTCTATTATTCCAGAATCACGGTCAGTTCTCCATATCAATTTGTTTCTCGGAGATACCCGAGACAAGGTCCGCGGAGCTCCTGGTCCGCCGAGTCACATCTGTCCGGCGGACCAGCCCGAACCAGGTCTCAGTTGGTGGTCACGGGCTGGCTTGACGGACCAGCATCAAACTTCACCATTTTTTGTGGCAGACTTGCAGAACGGCTCGGACTTATCGTGGTAACTAGATATTCTCCTTGCCTGGATCACATCTCGCAACCCGGTCTGCGAAGTGTTAGTTTGGTCCGCAGCGAACCAGGGACTTTGCGGACCCTGAATATCTACCCTGAGACTCTCTGAACATCCAGAATGCTGGAGGGTTTGACCCGGGCAGAGGAGGCATGAAAGAGGGGTGCATGTAACCGCACACTGCAGAGATTTTCACTTCCGATCATAGCCGCGTGGGCGTTCTCGCGTTGAATTTCGTTTCAGGTAGCTTAGTGGAATTTAAAGGACAGATGTTGGGTGTAGTGCGGAGTTTCCATTCCCTCACGTGTTTATTCATTCCTTGAAACAAACACGGGTGCCGTCCTTCTGGGAGGGTCAGCTACTTACGGTTTTCGGTGTCAGCCACCGTCGCACTCCTTGATTATCGGGGTGAATGGAAGGGACAAGTTACTTGCTGCTCGCTCAACCTCCAAGTTTCCGATTGTGCCGCCTTCTAGTTGATCAAATCAACCAACATTTCGGTCCACGTCATGAAAACCGCATGGCAAAGTCTTGGAGACATCAGTCCGCGACTCCGACTCCCTATGATACGAGAAAACTACGCGACGCGCCAACGCACAAACTTGTTTTAATCTTATTAACCAAGCTCGCACCGCAGGTAAGGCGACCAAATCTCGTCCAAATGGTTGGACTTACATGCGCTTCTACGTTGTATTCATGCTGCGAACGGATTTATTTGGTGTTACAGGTGCAATTCGGATTTACGGTCAGATTCACGAAATTACAGCATAGGGTTTCAATTCTTTCACCAAAGACAGATTTTGCGACGCTGTTACGTCACTTCAGTCTGGTCGTGCCGACAAGGCTTGTCTTATGCTGATTTTTTTAGGTCTTGATTTTTATACGGTATAAAACAAACTAGAACCCCTAGGGAGCCAGGCACCGCTTTCAAAGTATCAACCCTAAACACCTTGCCAGCTCCCGTGTTTAGGATACCTCCCGAATTGCACCACATTCGAGGCATCAACCCTAAACACCTTGACATCTTTGTTTAGGGCTGATGCCTCCCGAATTGCGTCCCTGTATTTCGGGGTTTATTTTTTGTCGGCCCCAGATTATATTCTGTGCTCCCTAAATGTTTCAGTAAATCGTGGTGGACACGTGGCAAAATAACGAATGTAGACAGGAAGCGTGACACACGCGCCAAAGATTTTCGCGCTACCGAAATAGTGATATCGAGAGGTACCACCGACTCCCACACATAAAAACTTGCAGTTGCAATCGCTAAAGCGCATGTAAATCGATCCATTTGGACGAGGTTTGGTCGCCCTACCTGCGGTGCCAGCTCGGTCAATGAGATTAAAACAAGTTCAAGCGCTGGCGCGTCACGCAATTTTGCCCTATGGTACAGACAAGGTGCAGCAGTTTCCCTCCTTTCTCTGCCCCAAATCAGCCCCCCACAAAGTTCGACTGACATTAGGTTTGGTTTGGAAGCTGACACAAGTCCCGCCAAACCTAGAATTCCCACAAATAGAAGCGTCTCCACGGCAACACCCCCATTCTAGACCAGTAAGGGTCAATCCACACCGCCCCCCAGCCATCGAACAGAAGCTGCACGTAAATAATGGAGGTTTGCTGTTCTTTCTTTTCCAGCGCAGGCTCCTTCCGCGCCTCGTCGAGTCGAGTGCTTGTCCGAGACCTTCCAGCTCCTTGCTCTGCTTGCAGAATCAAGCGTGCATAACTTTCAGAAGCTACAAGTTCGAACTGTAGCTCAGGATGTTTGAGAGCTGTTCAGCACAAAATGTGATGCAGCGACAGTTACAGTACAACCACATTGCATGCAACATTTCTTTCAATTCCTGTCACACCCTCGTGGATTTCCAGGGCATGGCACTTTCCACCTTTGACTGATACTGTATGGCGTGCTCTGCTCGATACAACTGAATTCAAATCTGTGATTATGTAAGGGAGTGACAGTTGCAGGGTGTATTTTGGGCAATTGCATTTTTCTTTACGAAATTGTGTGTGTGTGTGTGTGTGTGTGTGTGTGTGTGTGTGTGTGTGTGTGTGTGTGTGTGTGTGTGTGTGTGTGTGTGTGTGTGTGTGTGTGTGTGTGTGTGTGTGTGTGTGTGTGTGTGTGTGTGTGTGTGTGTGTGTGTGTGTGTGTTTTTTTTTTTTTTTTTTTTTTTTTTTTTTTTTTTCCAAAACTGCTGTCCGCACGTACAGGAACCAGTTTGTGTCCACCTGACGCGAAACCACTTTCTTTCACGCCGACATACAGTCTCGCCCGAACAAAAACCGTGTGCTGTTTCAGAAGTCGCGAGCGGTAGCCCTGCCGCCATACGAAATCTGTTACAGAAATCGGCGGGATAAAATGCCCTCGGGCTGTGGTTAATTTCGTTAGAAACGTACTAGAGAATTTCTCACTTCCGAGAATAGCTTGGCAAACTCAGAAATGTGTGTGTACGTGTTCTGTACTGGAGTGCATGGGACGTGCTGCACACGATCTAGGACACATTAAAAAATCTAAGCAAGAAACGAATCCAGAAGGGACTGTCTGGCTCGCTTGTCAATTGCTGGTGTTACAGTATGTTATCGGGTAACATGACCCGAAGATGACTACCTCCACCTAGCAATACAAGCCCTAAGGTACTTTGCGTCACCACCTCTACCGCGTACTACAGTGTTCCCGCCACTTCACCCAAACACCGTCTCTACATGTTTGTGTGTTGTTTACTTTCCACGGTGTGTACAGGGTTTAGGATTTCTCATTTTAGCATGTTCTACTCTCCTAGCATTTCTGGGGCTTTTATTTTCACTAATTGTTCAACCTGCGTGATGTGTGACATGATAAAAGATATTACGCATCGACATGTACAGTGGGCACCACACCAAACTCGGCCTCCATGATCACACTGCAACAATATCAGCATTACAATTTAATACCCAAATGCAGAGCCTAGATACAGTTCAACCAGAAACCCATACCGCATCTCAGCAGCATTCCCTTTCTTCCGCATACGGGACCACCAACGGCTAACTCCAATTCACCCATAAACCCATATCTGTAACAGCTCGTACCTTGTATCCCATTCCATAGCCGCCCACACCTTCTTTAAAGCTCACATCACATCACATCCCATCACCACATAACCCATCCATCTCACGATCCCACTTCACATCAGTGCAAGAGGCGGGCCATGCCCCGGCTCTGGAACAAGCACGAGAAGAGCCCAAACCCCATCCCAGGCCCATCGCCAAAATCATCCTCACATAGATCATCCACATCATCCACCACCAACCCCTTCTCCCTCAGCCTCTGCACCAATTCCTGCCGCCGCCTCTCCTCCTCCACACTCACCACCGCTCGCTCTCCTCCTCCTCCCACTCCTCCGGTGCTTCTCCTCCTCCTCCTCCTCTCCAGAACCTGCTCTAGCAAGTCCTGAAGTGTCCGCTTTTCCTCTTCCAGCACCTGCAGCTTCTTCACCAGCTTCTCGTTCAGAGCAGCCATGGGCTGCAGCACCTGCACCTTCTGTGTTGCTGCTTTCAGCGCCGACCGCAGCTGCAGCACCTCCTCCTCTAACGCTGCCAGGCGTAGCTCGTCCACACCCCCAGTCCCGTTCCCGCTCCCGCTCCCGCTCTTCCCTCCCTTGCCAGGCACCTGCTCTGGCTCAGCTGCTGGCCCTGCAGCTTCATCATCCCCTGGCTTATCATGAACCACAACATTGTCTCCGTCCATGCTTGCTGCCCGTGCCGCCGTTCTTCCTCCTCCCCCTCCTGCTCCTGCTCCTGCTATAGCTGAGGCTGCTGCGACTGCAGTGGTTACCTTCCCCACTGCGCCCAATTTCCCTCTCCCAGCCTCTTTCTTTCCAGAAGCCGCGCCCAGATCCTTCAATTCGCCCTCTACCCGTTGCATGCTCCTCTTCAGCATCCCCATCTCTACCCCTTTTGACCTTACCTCGGATTCTAGCTGCTTGATCCGCTCGTCCTTCCTCTTTCCTTCCTCCTCCAGAAGTGCCTTTGCTCTCTCACAATCCCTCACCTGGTTTCGCAACTTGGCCACTTCCCCGACCTGCCCTCCCATGCTATTATCCCCTCCTTCCCCTCCTCCTGCTCCTCCCTTCCAGCTATAACTTCGACTCACCGCCCTCCCTTTCTCCGATGACCCTCCACTGCCACCACCACTGCCAGCATCACCCGTCTCCCCAGCATCCCCTGTCCCTGCCCCTCCCTGGCCTAATCCCGCCAGCTGCTGCTTCTGCTCCCTCACCTGCTGCTGTAGCTTCTCTACCTTGCTTTTCAAGTCCATGTTCTTCATACGGAGCTTCCCCATTTCAACGTCTAACGCCACTGCACTCTCTGCCTGCTCCCTGCGCTCTGCTGCCCCACTCGCCTGCCTCTTCCCCTCCTCAACCTCCCTCTTAAGCGCTTCTATCTCTTCCTCCTTCTCTGCTACTACACCCTTCAGCACGCCATCTCTCTTCCACACTTCAAGCTCCTCTTTTGCCGCCCCCAGCTGCTCCTGTAGCTCCTTTGTCTCCTTCTGCAGCTTATCCACTTTCATTTTAAAATCCCCGTTCTTTATTTTCAGCTGCCCGACCTCCACCTCTAGTCCCACCGTGTACTGATCTTTTTCTTTCGCAACTGCCCTGCTCTCCTCCTCCTCCTTGCTTTCCGAACTCGCCCCAGAGCCGGCACCACCACCAGCAGAAGCTTCTACTGCTGGCATCATTCGCCCCCCCATAACCCACATCCTCTTACCGCCCGACCCAGAAGGCACGCGCGTCAATGCGCGCCCTCCGGGGGTCAATGGCGGGGGATTGGTCGCAGAGGGGGTAGGGGGAAGCGCAGTGGCGGAAGCAGCGGCGGCGGCAGCGGCGGCAGCGGCGGCAGCAGCAGCGTCAGAGGCACCAGCGGAAGAAGCGACAGAAACATCGCTGCCAGTGGGACTAGCCAGATCACTACCCAGCCCTCCCCCAACCCTACGCTCTTCCATATCCTGTCTCCCCCCGCCTTCTTGGCTGTCCTGCTGCTGCAGAGCCTTCAGCTGAGCAACCTCCTCCTTGCTCGTTTTAAGCTCCTCCCGCAGCTTCTTTATAGTCACCTGCAGGTCCATCTGCTTTATCCTCCACTGCCCCGCTTCAACCTCCCGTGCCACCTCCTCTGTTTCCTTCTCCGCCTTCTCGCCTTCCGGCGCCTCCGCCTCCGCCTCCCCTTTCTCCTGCTCACTCCCCCCATCCGCGCACACCTCCCCTTCCCCGCCCACGCCGTCCGCTTCTTCTCCCCCTCCCGTTCCCCCTACCTCTTCCGCCTTCCCCCATTTTTCCTTCAGCTTCTCGAGCGCAATCGCAGCTTGCCCCTCTCTCTCCCGAGACTCTTTAAGAGCCGCCGTGAGACGGTCTAGCTTCAGCTTAAGATCCATATTCCTGATCCGCAGTTGCCCAACCTCCACTTCTAGCGCCACGTGCTTCTCATCGTCTCGCATTCCCGCCTTCTTATTCCCCCCTGCGCCCGCTCCCGCACCTGCGTCTCCACCCCCAGCCGCGCCGTCCGCGCCCCCACCTCCCCCCGCGCCGGTGTCCGCCTCCCCTTCCACGATTTCTCTCAGCATCGCGTTTTCCTCCTCGAGTGACTCTAACGAGGCCAGCTTCTGCTTCAGCGCTTCCTCCTCCTCCGCGCCGGATTTAGCGCGCCGCAGGAGCGTATCGAGCTGCTCCTTAGCACGACCCACCGCCTCCCGCGCTAGAGCTATTTTCGACACGTCAGTTGCCTTAGCTTGCTGATCCTCCTCCTCACGATTCTCTTCTTCCTTACTCTCCTCCCCGTTCTCCTCCCCTATGGAACACAGTTTCGACAAAGCTTCGACCAGCTCCTTCAACGCCCCTGATCCGTCTTCCACCTCCTTCAGTCCTTTCTCCAAGCTGCCCAATATCTTCCCCAGAAAAATCCCGATCGCGCTGGGATCCTGCCCGAGGTCAAACCTCCCGCCTCCCCTTTCCTTCCCCCCACCCTCCGCCGCTGCCGCATCTTCCGCAAGCTTGGCGGAGGACGCGCTGGGGCTAATCATCGGTGACAAAAGATCAGCCTGCCCGTCTTCTCCAGCCGCCGCGTTCGCGGTAGCGGCGGCGGCGGCGGCGGCGTAGTGCGTGGAGGTGACGAATAACTGCTCGTAGCGCGCGGCGAGAGTTAAGTAGCGGCTATGCAGCAGGTCGACTTGCTGCAGGATGTCGGGGCGGCGCGCGTACATTAACTCGGCCCGCTTGCCGAATGAGTCCGCGCCTTCGTCCAGCAGCTTATGAACGGCGTCGGCGCACTTAGAAACGTCTGCAAGACAGGGGAGAGAAGAGGGAGAGAGAAGGAGAGAAGAGGGAGAGAGAAGGAGAGAGTGGGAGGCGCATGAAGCAGGAAACGCGGGACAGAGAAGGGAGAGAGGGAGAGGGATGCACGAGGAGCGGAGGCATGGAGGCGGCAGTCGAGCAGCACCGCGTTTACCGGCACGCTTTACGTGGACAAGCCACACTCATCCGTGACAACAGGCGCCGCGTTTTCTTTGGTCAACGACTCAACCATGCTGCGGCCACCGTGATCTACGGATTTATCTTGCGACCATGAAACGAGAATTCGCGAAGCCTTGTTGAACGAAAACAAGGAGTTGATGTGAGATGGAAGAAAACGATGTCTATGGCAGGGACACACGTAACGGACGAGATGCAACAAGACACGGGGAAACTTAGCAACATAAAATCAACAGGGAATAACCAACAGCTGTTTAAACCACCACACAAAGAAAAAAAGAAAAAAAAACTGCTAGTACGTCAATAAAACCAGGTTTAATCATGATACAGCTAATTGGCGTTGTTTCCTATCCGCGGTCATTGCCTCACCTTGGGTATTCACTTTTAACCATCGGTTAACAGCTGATTGCGACAAGAGCCGCTTCCCCTGATCGCCGCCCTTCATTGTCCGTGCTCCGCCCCCCCCACCAGGAGTCAACAGGGAACCGCTACCTTCGCTCCCTGCCGCCGTACGCAGCTTCAGCTTATCCTTAAACTTTTCCATTGACGCGGGTTATTATTTCCGGCACGCGGAGAAAGAGAATTGGTGCAGCAGATTGACAAGAAACCTAGAAATGGAGTCCGGTACCTTGACAACCTCAGGAAAATGCTATGGTAAGGAACTCACAAGAGCCGGCCAAATGAGAAGCATTGGGCTCCAACTAACCATTCTGCCATTTCAATCGATGCCGACTGGCCTGAGGCCTCTAGCAATTGGAAGGACAGATGACAGAGCATCTGCTTTGGGATTGGAGCTGGTGTGAAAGAATGTCCGGAAACAGAGGGGTTTTGTTTCCGATCAACCATTGCACGCAAGTGAGGAGCCCGGGGAGGGGAGATGAGAAATCGAAATTACTGTATTGGTAGGAGGGGCGGGCAGCTGGGCACGAAAAAAATGGGAGGGATGAAGGGCGACTGATTGTGCGGGGAGGGGGGGCGGATGGGTTTGGTTTGGGTGGACGCGTGGGGGTAGGGGCCCCGGGGGGGCGATTGAGGGATTGAGTGATGGAGGCTGGCGGGAGGTGTGCAGCGCACAATCTTGTCACACACCCTGCGGAGCGTCTATTGTACGGGACAAGATTTCTGTTCTGCTAGCAACGCCGGCATCTGCCTGTTCCGCTGACCGTGGGAGAAGGGAATGTTTCCCCGCCAAAACGGTTCAAAATCCATGGTTCCACACGCGCGAATCTTGAATGATGCAATTATCGATGCGCGCGACGTTGATGTGGCGGAAGCTGATGGCTGACCCACTCATGTCAAGCGATCTTTCCGGGGTTGGTCTGAAAAGCTTGTTTCATGCAGCATTTCTCGACCTGAACGTCTGTATGCACAATCCATTTGACTGGCATACGTAGGTGAATAATTGATAAAAGATGGTACATGCACACTTTATATGATATTCTTACCATTCCACAGTACTGCCTTCTAGATTTCACACAAGATAGTGAGGTTCCTGATTTCCTTCATTACCCTACAACCTTCAGATGTTCCCTCCAGGAAGTACATTCTACACTAAACGGGTCTACAAGTACAAGTTCAACCACATGTAGGATCTACACATTGTTGTGAACTGGCAATGTCTGCCAGCAAACGAACTTGACATCCTTTACAAGCTCCTTCTCTAGAGCCAAGAGGACACCTGATAATAAGTGTGCTGGAAATGAAAGAAAATATGAAACAAAAATGGTGAAAGCTGGTACACCGAGGCAAATGGAAGTGGGAATAACAGCTACAAAATGCAGATTAGGGTAGTGTTACAGAGCAATGACTTCTTACCAGCTGCATTAACTGAAGTCAAGATTCAGCAGGCGCTGCCTTCAACGATTTCAGCAAATCAGCAAGCTCGCCAGACTGATGCATGGATGAGATGTTTGGGAAGTGTAAGGCAGTAGAGGGGGGGACAGAAGAATAGTAGGATTGTGGAGAAGAGGTAGAGGAAGAGCTGAAGAGAGATGTTGCATAGCGTGGTGGTGTCCTTATCCAACAAAAAAACGGCAGAGGTAGAGACCAGGTCATATGAGAATGACACATTTGCATCCCGTGCCTCCTATCGTTCTTGTGCACGACAAGCCACATCTTCACACCATACACGATGCATCCTCCATGACACGCATGTCATGCATGACATGCATTGCATGTATGGCATGCATGGTGCCATACCTGGTGCATCTTCATGACAATATCGCAGCCACCAATGAACTCCCCGTTTACGTAGACCTGCGGGATAGTGGGCCACTCACTGCGGCGAGCGATGAGTTGTACATTGACGGGGAGAAAAAGGTACATAACATAGAAAGATAAGGTATAATATAATCAGCAATAAGATTTGGAATGCGATAAACATCAACAGTACACTCATTGCAGAGTTGGAATGCGCTAATGCAGGGATGCAAAACAAGAGTCAACATACACTGAGCTGAAAAGATAGATAATTGCATTAGCAACCAGGTTCGAGATGCATTTTGTTAATCCACCTGAAAGATTTAATTCCTTCTCTGAGGTCTGGATCCTCCAGAACGTTCACTCCCTTGAAGTCCACACCTACATGAGGGGGCGTAAAATATTGCACAGGCAACAGACAGATGGGCAGGAAAAAAAAGGAGGAGAACAGAAACAAAATGGTGAAGAATGATAGAGGAAGCAGGATGGGGTGAAAAAAAGAGAGAGAAGGAAGCGGAAATAAGTGTGCAGGGAGGAAAAGGGAGGGGAGAAAGGAGGAGCAGGAGCTGGAGAGAGGAAGTGGCAACAGGGAAAAGATGGCAGCGCCGTGGCTAGCATGGTCACCACACACAGCGATTATGCACATGCCACAGCACTGAAAACGTTATTTCAGGCGGCTCAAGAAGCATGCACACACGCACGACGGGAACTCTGAAACGAACGACCTTCGGGGTTCTTTAAAACCGGAGTGCCAAACAGCCCCAAAGTGCCTCAACCTTCCTAACTTTGAGAGGGGGTGACCCAGTAGGTATGACTCGCTTCGCAAATCGGGGGGACAATTTTCGTCACGCGGAACTACTGCTCTAGCGAGGACGAAAGCAGTGACGATTTCGCCAACAAATTTGAAGCCCGTCCGAAACTGCCTGCGGACCAGTTCTGATGTTGCATTCCAGATCTGGTTATTTTCGCGAAATTTTCTTCCTTTGCGACCCCAGACCACCAATTTCGACGCCACCCTGGCTCGCGAGCCAGTCACCTTTCCCTCCCCTTTCAACCTTCCTAACTTAGAAACTCTTGGACCTCCGGTTTTAAACAGCATGGCAGCACGTGCATGAAGAAGCATGGCAGTGAGCCAGGCAGCATACCATGAGCAGCAAGCACTCGCACGACCGCAGCACTGAAGCCGCACATGGGCGCGGATGGCAGGCCCTTCATGAACACCACAACCGGGGATGAACTGATGTCCTGAGAGAAAAAGGGAGAGGGTGACCGGGAGGAGGGAGGAACGGGTTGGTATAGTGGGAGACCGCCTGCCTGCATGTCCTGAAGCAAAGCATGGGCGCGGATGGCAGGCCCTTCATAAACACCACCACCGGGGATGACTTGATCTCCTGAGCGGGGGAGAGGGGGGAGGAACAGGGAAGGAAGGCAAAGTATTTGCACGAATAGAAACTGTCTGCGTTCCTGCATGCATACCCTTCACATTGCATGAAAGCGCATGTTCTGAAGCCGAACATGGGTGCAGAACATGACCACCAGGCATGACTTCATGTCCGCGGGGAGAGAAGGAAGGGCGTCCAGCAAGAAGGAGGAAGGTTGGGGGGGGGGGAGGAGGGATAGTATGGATGGAGGAACACACTTCATGCCAGCATGCTCTTGACATAGCACTGAAGCGCACGTCCTGAAGCCGCACAAGGGTGCAGATGGGATGGGATGGGAATCCCTGTGTAAACACCATGGGAACTGTCTGGATGGAAGCTTACGTCATGGTTGACTGACGCAGCGCATCCTGAAGCTGCCTGAAAGCTACTGTCGCCACACGTCACGCCTCTTCCACACAATCTCGTGCACTTACCTCTTGAGAACCTACTCCTACTCGTACGCTGGCAGAGCATACCCGTTATTGATAGAATTGGAACTGAACTGATTACTTGATAAGGAAGGCACTAGGCCTTAAGTACAAACAGGGTTGGGTTGAGCAAAGCTAGGGAAAAGATGGGATGGGAATCCTAGCAAATCTCCAATTGGTGAGTTGGCAGATTTGCAGGATTACGAGGGAATCCCAACCAGATAGGGTTGGGATTACAAATCTACACCCAACCTACAAAGTAACCTAACCGATATAGAATATAGTACAAAGTGTTGACTGACTATTTCTAACACACCCCCTAGGCTGACAACACTTCAACCACATGGCGGCCCAACACCCATGGACGAGAGGAGGCGGTAGTGGTCTTGGCGAACAAGAGACTTGGTAAACAAGTCAGCAAGGTTGCAGTCGGAGGCAATGTGTTCAGCCTTAAGCTGCTCGCGTAGCACCAGCTCACGAAGAAGTGACGGACCTCAATGTGCTTGGTGCGGCCGTGGAAGACAGGGTCCTTTGTGAGATGAATGGTGCTCTCGTTGTCACACCAAAGCGTTGGGGTTGGTTGAGGATACCTAAATTCTGCCAGCAAGAAGGAGAGCCAACGGGCCTCTTGGGCAGCCATGGTCCAGCATACAGCTCTGCCTCACAGGTAGACAGTGAGACGGAAGACGACCGAGTGGAGCGCCAACTGACAACCCCACTGCCAAGGGTAAAGCAATACCCTTGGGAAGAGCGCCGATCACTCTGGTCATCAGCATAGGACGAGTCACTGTACCCCTCAAGGCGAACAGGGGAAGAGCCGCCAAGAGTGAGCACATAGTCCTGTGTGCCTTTGAGATAGCGGAGGACACGCTTGGCGGCAGATCAGTGGTGGCCCGTGAAGCGAACAGGTGCAACGTAGCGAGACAAGACACTGAGTGGATAGGCCAAGTCTGGTCGAGTGCACATCATCGCGTACAAGAGGGAATTGACGAGCTCCGGGTAAGCCTCATCACAAGGCTCAGGTGAGGGAACAAAAGGTGCAGTGAGTTGGTGCTGCATAGAGAGTGGGGTGGGCATTGAAGCTCCTTCCTGCATCTTGAGCCTGGTCAAAACATTGTTGATGTATAACTTATGCGAGAGGGTGATGGTGCGGGCCGTGCAATCGCATGTGATTTCCATGCCCAGATAGTTCGTCAGCTTCCCAAGATCCTTCATGACCAACTTCTCACCAAGTGCGGTTTTGACAGCTGCCAACTCATTGTGATCCTTGGTGACAACGATAATGTCATCGACATAAACCAAGTTGAAGAAGCGGGATGGTGTTGCTCGGATGAAGAGGCTGGGGTCAGAGGTGGATGGGTGTAAGTCGAGGGACCCTAAGGTGCTCTTGAGCTTGTTGTGCCATTCCCGCGGTGCTTGCTTGAGGCCATATACTAGTCGATTCCGCTTCCATACAGTGCCTGGTGGAAAGGGAGCTGGAAATCCTTCGGGCCGCTCCATGTAGATTTCCTCTCGAAGGATCCCTTGCAGAAACGCAGAGGACACATCCATGGAGTCAACCTCCATGTCATCTCGAGCGGCAACATCGAGAAGGGTGCGCAGTGTAGGAGGTTTGACGGTGGGAGAGAATGTCTCAAAGAAGTCCAGTCCATGTTTTTGGGTAAATCCCTTAGCACAGTACCGGGCTTTGAAGACGGGAAACTCGCTTGGAAGCTGTTTCACCCGGAAAACCTATTTTCCCTTCACAATGTTGACGCCGGAGGGAGCAAAGACATCTGTGAAAGTTCCTGTGCGAATGAAGGCCTCACACTCTGCGACAATGGCCCCTAGCCACTGAGCGGCGTGAGGACCAGAAACTGCTTCAGCATAGGTGAGAGGTGTGGGGATGGAGGGGTTGTCCGAGAAGTTGAGGGTGGGAAATTGTGCGACATCTAGAAAGAGGGAGCAGAGCGCGTGTATGGCTGAGTCAATCTCAATCAACTCCTCATGTCTATCCTCAAGAAGGGAGGGCATGAGCGAACAATCACCCCCGACAGGAGGAGGATTGAGAGAGACGCAACTGGAAAGGGAAAGAGGCTTGGGAGCTTTTCGCGAGCGGGTGCGACCAGCGATGGGGGAGGGAGGTGGAGCTGGAGGAGGGGAAGCAGCAGATGGAGTGGCAGCATCAGGAACAGCAGCTGGATCAGGAGTAAGAGCCAGATCAGGAGCAGGAGCTGGATTAGGAGGAGTAGGAGCAGCAGGAAGACAGCGTTGGTAGGTTTTGAGAGGAATCGGCTTGAGGGCAGGTTGGAGCAGGGGAGACTGCGTGGTGCTGGATGGGGAAGCGGGTCACAGGGGGTCGGAAACTGTGGAGGGAGCGGGAAGAGGAGGAGATGGAGTGGTGGCAGGAGGAAGGCTGTCAAAGTCAGCCCAAGTAAGAGAGGGAGGCGGAGGAGAAGGAGAAACTGTGGAGAAGGGGTAGAATGGGTGGGATTCATCGAAGAAAACATCTCGGTTACGATAGCGTTTGTTGGTGGGAGGATGGAGGAAGAGGTAGTCTAGCGAGTCCGAGTTGTGCCCGACGTACACGCACGTGATTGTTTTCGGAGCAAGCTTGCCGCCAGCTGCGCGACGGGCTTGGGAGTTGAGGACATAGGAAGTGCACTCCCATACACGAAGAGGGAGAACGAACGGCTTTTGACCCATCCACAGCTCTGCGTGGGTGGTGTGGGTGTGGTGAGGATGAGGATGGAGATTGTGGAGGGCGGCAGCATGGAGCATGGCGGATCCCCAAAGAGAGGGAGGGGCGAAAGCATGAGTGAGGAGGCAGCGAGCAATCTGCACCAGGATGCGGTTTCGGCTCTCAGCAACACCGTCCTGTTAAGGGCTGTCTGGGAGAGTGAAGGTCTGACGAATACCCTCAGTAGAGCAGAAAGCGTTGAGAGTGTTGTTGCGGAATTCGCCGCCACCGTCAAAGTGAAGAATCTTGATTTTGGTTTTGAAGTGTGAATGAGCCTGCCTGGCCCATTCCATGATGATGGCTGGGGCTTCAGACTTGGCAGTGAGAAGGTGAACGGACACATAGCGGGAAAAGTTATCAACGATGACAAGGAAGTAGAAGTGTCCGCCACGGGAACGAACAGGAGCTGGACCCCAAAGGTCCATGTGTACGCGATCGAGAGGTGCGGTAGAGATGGACTGAGTGGGAGGATGTGGCTGTTCCCGAAGCTTGCTCTGTGCACAGTCAAGGCAAGGCGGTCTAGAAAGAGAGGGGGGTTGTGGAAGTGAGGCGGGCAGCCCATGAAGGAGTTGTTTGGTGGCAAGGTTTGAAAGTGCGCGGAAGTTGGATGTGGCCGAGGCGTTTATGAAATAAATTAGTCTTGTCAGTGAGGAGGCGGCAGTGGCATGAGGGGGAGTCTGAGAATGGAAGCGGAAGGTTGGTGAGGGAGCATGTTTGAACGGGAGGTACAACCAGTGTGTACAGGTTGTTGGAGTTGAGGGTGAAGCGGGCAAGATGGAGTCCGATTTTGGCGTCAAACAAGTCACAGTAGTCAACATCATTGGGAAAGATGGTGATCACGCCTGCGTGTTGGATTTCCCGCTGTGCAAGAAGGTTGTAGCGGAGGGTGGGGGCACAGATGCCAGTAACTGTGCCGGATGGGAAAGCTGGACAGGAGACTGTGGAGGACCCATGACATTGGATGGAGAAGCTAGAATCAGCTCCAAGGAGTGAGGTGGGAGCCTGGTAGGGAACGAAGACGGTTTGGTATTTAAGCACTGTCTAGGTGGCACCACTGTTTAGTTTGAACTCGATTCTCTATGTGGTTGAAACACCGATGTACTGCGACCCCTTCTCATTAATAAAACCAGCACCAGAGAACAACAAGTTAAGGCGAACATCAGATGGGGCACTAGCAAATGCCAGAGCAGGTTCCTCCACTGCCTCGACCTGGTTCACGCGTCGGGGTGGTGCCCAGTTGGGAGGGCGCTTGTCCTTGGAGACACCGTGGACTTCATACCACTCGTCATCTCGCTTCTTGAAGCAAGTTGCCTCAGGGTGGTTGGTGCCATTGCATTTCTGCCCCACACGTGGACCCTTCCTAATGAGGTACTGGCATGGGGGAAAGGAGTTGTGCCTCTAGCCCTGCTGGGAACGAAATGGGATGCCAGGGGAGTAGCGCACAACATTGACGCATGCCTGGGCTGCAAGGTCCTTTTCGGCGAAGGGAAGGGCCGAAGCGACTTTCTCAAAGGTGTGTTCTTTGGTGGGGAGCTGCTTGAGCATGGAACTGGTGACATTGTAGGCCGGGGTGAGTCCGACGAGTAGCCCAGCAGCAGGTGCCTGTTCGGGGAAGGTGATCCCAATGTCCTTGAGCTCCTCATGGATGTTGCGGATTTCAGAGATGTAGTCTGCCATGCCCGGGCATTCCTCAAGACGGATTTGGAACATGCGCGGAATGAGGATTGCAACTCCCGCTGCAGTTTTGTCATGAAAACGATCCTGGAATACTTCCAAATGTCATGCGCAGAGCGAAAGGGGCGGTAGGACTTGACTAACTCAACTGGGGTGGTGGTGATGAAAACCCTAATCACTGCCGCATCCGCCTGCTCCCAGAGACTGAAGTCCGTCTCATACTTGGTGGTCTTAGCGTCGAAAGCAAGCTTGGCTGTGGCAGTGGCGCCTTCGCCGAGAGGATTGGGAGGGAGAGGCATCTTTCCCTTGCCGCGATTGAGGAGGATGTCCTTGAGGCAAATCCCCTTGAGCTCCGAGCTAAGGAGGTGCTTCTCCACTCCATAGCACCACTCCCCGAAATTGGTGCTCGTGCCGTTGGGAGCGAGGTTAAGGATGATGAGGTTTCCGTCGAGAGTGGAAGTTGAAGTTGCCATTACGCGCGGAGCGCAGCGCTAAAGTCTCCGATACGTAGCGGAGCGGAGGGCGATTTTGGAAAGTGAGGAAGTCCGAAACGCGATTTTGTCATTAGAATGCCCGTAATATACCCTGTTATACTGCTTCGCCGATGCCCCCTGATCTGCTTCGCTGCTGCCCCTGTTCCACTTCTCTGCTGCGCCGCTGACCTGTTCTGCTTCTCTGCTGCGCCGCTGACCTGTTCTGCTGCGCCGCTGACCAGTTCTGCTGCGCCGCTGGACCTGTTCTGCTGCGTCGCTGAACCTGTTCTTCTGCGCCGCTGAATCTGTTCTGCTGCGCCGCTAAACCTGTTCTGCTGCGCCGCTGAACCTGTTCCGCTGCGCCGCTGTACCTGTTCCGCTGCGCCGCTGAAAACCTGTTCCGCTGCGCCGCTGGACCTGTTCTGCTGCGCCGCTGAAAACCTGTTCGAAGTCAAGAAGATGCGAAAAATTGCCACGGAGATATAAACACGAGAAGCTTACGATGAAGGAAGTCGAAGGCTGAGAATGTCGTCGTTGAAAAACGAGATACGCGATGAAGGAAGCCGAATGCGCGCTTGACCTGAGCGACGATGTGAAGTTTCTGAGAAAACGCTAAGCGTAGGTGCCGGGAACCGAAATAGGCATAGACTAGAAGGAGAGAACCATTGGGACGCCAAGGATCGGATTCCGCGTGAGCGGAATTTACTAGCTCGATACCATGATAGAATTGGAACTGAACTGATTACTTGATAAGGAAGGTACTAGGCCTTAAGTACAAACAGGGTTGGGTTGAGCAAAACTAGGGAAAGGATGGGATGGGAATCCTAGCAAATCTCCAATTGGTGAGTTGGCAGATTTGCAGGATTACGAGGGAATCCCAACCAGATAGGGTTGGGATTACAAATCTACACCCAACCTACAAAGTAACCTAACCGATATAGAATATAGTACAAAGTGTTGACTGACTATTTCTAACAGTTATAAGGAGCACTGGTGTCAACCTCAGTGTTGAGACGTCCCTCGAAACTCAAACAAAAGAAAAACCGGTTCCTGGCAGTACAAACCCTTTTTGCACGTCCCTGAGTGCATGCACTCGAGCTTACCTCCTTAATCTGCGCGTACACCGGCAGCACCCCCTCGGCCGCCTTGACCTGCGGCTTGAAGTCGTCGTGCGTCTCGCCGCCCTCCTCGCTCGGAGGAGTCGCGCCGCCGCTTCCAGGCGCCGACCCCGCCGCATGTGACGGCGCTGAACCTGTTTGCAGCCAGCGCGCGCCGATCAGGGTGCCTGAAAACGCGGGGAGCGACGCCAGACGGGGTTAGAGAAGCTAAAGAAGAAAGAGCCTAAAGCGTCTCAAAGAACGAATCAATGGCTGGGCAGTTTCGGGCACGAGTCCAGGCGTAATCAATCGACAACAACAAATTGCCCGGGGAGATTCCGAAGCACAAGCAAAATTAAGGCTAGGTGACAATTTGCATGATCTAGAAATACGAGGCTCGAAGCAGGAATCTATCCGGCGGAGGGAAGAGAGAGAGAGAGAGGCGTTACCGAGAGGGAGGATCGGGGCGGCGGGAGAAGTCGCGAGGATCCTTCGCGAAAAGGCGAGGAGAGGTGAGAGCGCAGGACGTGACGCAGCCATGACGGAAAGTAAGCGTGATCCACGGGAACGTACAAAATCCGGCCCGGTGGATCGGAGTAACAAGGCAGGAAGCGAAACGCAAGGCGCTAATCGTGGAATGAACGGTACTGCTGATCCACAAAGCAGGAATGAAGAAAGGTGGAGCCTGAATGAATAAACCCAATCCCGATAGTGCGAGATGTGAACTGTATACATTCTACACCCGACGTGAGTCACCCCAATTTAGAGTGTCTAGCAATTGTTTCTTACTTTTTATGTTTAAACCTGGAGGATCAATTGGGCCACCCACTACCAGCTAAGATAAGGAGGATGAGGAATCAAGAAACTAACATTCATCACACAATTTTAAACCCTGTATTAATACTATGTCTGTATTCACGCTGAAAATGTTAATAGAAAGCATACCGTATCTATATACAAGCTGTACACAATGACAAATAACATATATATACATAATCCATACCCACTTGTTCAAGTGGTTAACCCATTCGGCAGATTCCTCTGCGGCTGCCCTACAACCTTCCCTCCAGTGTCCGGAAACTCTTCGAACCCAGGCAAAGGGTGTACACTCCCATCTCGCCCCACTTGAACAGGGTACTTGACCAAATGGCCCTGCAACTCCACCGGCGCCTCTCCAGCCCACTGCATCCACCTGTCCTGCGCTGATTGGTTGACGGCTCGCATGCAATCCAAAGTCCAGGGACGCTCATGGATGGGGCCGAGGATACCCAGGTGCTCAGCCCATAAGCCCATACGAAAGCCGTGCACCTGATCATGCCATGCGACAATGGTATCAGAGCGGCAAGTAAAAAAGGAAACAACGAAAAAAAGACATCGAGTGAAGAGGATAGGTCACACACTGCAACCATGCACACAATCATCAAAACCGGTAGACCTACAAGACACAATCATCTTATATCACCTTCCTTCCTCTCTTCACACCTGCTTTTCGCTCAACATATGGTATGGCTGGTAAAATACCTACCGCCTTCCTCCATCGAGTGTTTAGTCGACTCTTTCCTACCTAACCTCTGATGCATACCCACTCTCACCTGCCCTTTAGGTGCGTGCCCGCGCTCGCGCCACGTGTGGTGTGGCTGGTACGCCCCAACAGCCATCTCTGTGTCTCTCGCGCCGTCCATGGACCGCTGGTTGATATTGGCTGACCCCACAACCACATACTCATCATCCACCACCATCATCTTGGCATGCACGTAGATCATGGCCCGCCTGTGCTGCAACACCGAGTTCTGCCATGGGCATGCAGGAAACGAGTACGGGGACACTTTGTTTTGTTTGTTAATTGTTGTTGTTGTTTTTTATTTTTTTGCTCGTTTGTTTGTTTTTCTTCACTGTGAGAGCACAAATCTGCTCGTCTGTGCTGCCTCACTGAGGGCTGAAGAGTTACGGTCAGTGGGGAGGCAGGGAAAGGGAGACACAAGGGACGGAGGGATGCGGATGGGTGAGGTGGGAGGACGGATGGTGGAAGACGCAGAGACAGTGCCTGCCATCCGAAGGACTTGAGAATCTGTATGTAATTTTTAGAATCTATGAGAACGGTTGAGAAGGGGTAAGAGAAGGTGGTGAACAGGCAGAGCAGGCATGTGAGCAGCAGCCGTGGAGCACTTAGTCGATTCACAAGCGAACGAGTAAACGGCAGCAGCAGCAGCAGCGGAATGGGAAGTTGGGAAAGGAACTCACAAGAACAGAATCGCCGGCAAGAGCTGGCATGTGGTGCTGCTCAGACGTACGGGGAGACGTCGGCTGGCTACCGTTGCTGTTGCGGTTACCACCCTCAGTGCGGTTACCAGCGGTATCACTAGCAGCAGCAGGAGCAGGGGCGGGGGCAGAGGTGCTGGCATCGCCAGGTGGCAGCTCCCGGTTGGCCAGGCAGAAGAAGCTGAGATAGTCACAGGGATGGGGGCTATGTGTTGATGCTGTTGCTGATGCTGCTCCTGTTGCTCCTCCTGCATCCGCTCCCGGTTCTGCTGATGCTGCTGCTGCTGCTGGTCCTGAGGCCACATCTGCTTCTGGCTCTAGCTGACCTACCAGCCCTGTTACAGTCTCCCTAAACTTCCCCCCTCCCTTCTGCCCCACCTCCCCACCCGCCCCACCCTCCCCTCCCTCCACTCCCTGCCCACCAGCAAACACCCCAGCCTTCGCCTTCCCCTGTCCCTCGCTCTCCCCGGCCTCACTAATCACTTTTGCCTCCTGCCCCCTCTCCGCCTCCCACCCCTGCTCCTGCCCCAGCCCTTCCTCCCCCCTCGCCGTTACCTGCACCTCGTCTAGAGCGCGCGCAATCACACGGTACATGGCCTCCATGGTGCGCGACTGGGGGGGGGGAGGGGGGCGACGGAGGGGGAGGTGAGGGTAAAGGGGGACAACTGGGGAAGCGCCCATGGGAGTCCTCTTCCCCTTTCTACTCGCCTCTGCCTGCACCTCGTCGAAAGCCCGCGCGATCACACGGTACATGGCCTCCATGGTGAGCGACTGGGCGGGAATGGGGGCGATGGGCATGGGCGGGCAGGGAATGAAGAGAGAATGCGAACGAGAGCGAACTGAATAGGGGAAACCGATGAAACGCTCGTCTAGACGAGCGTCTTGACTTCCTTAGCCTCTGCTGCCTGCTGCACTGCACCTCGTCTGTAGCCCAGGCAATCACACGATACATGGCCTCATCTGGAGCCCAGGAGAAGAGAGAGGGTTGGTGATGGGTGGAGAGGAGTGGAGATCTCCATGGGTATGCTGTGCTATGCGCCACTGCCCTGGTGCGACGTCCCGGTCCCCTACCCCCAAACCCCTGGAAACCCCAAACCCCTGGAAACCCCAAACCCCTGGAAACCCCAAACCCCTGGAAACCCCAAACCCCTGGAACTCCCAAACCCCAAATGCTTGGAACCCCATCCCCCCTGCTTTCAGAGTCACTGACCTGCCAGAAGAGAATCTCCAGGGTGGAAGCACCCTTGGGATCCCCTTCAAACCACATGGGACGACCACATACGCACTGAACAGCCGATTCCAAACCCGCATCCCCAACCCCCACCCTCCAAACCCCAGCTTCCCCTGACAAGCCCTGACCTGCCAGAAGAGGATCTCCTGCGTGGCGGCCCCCTTGGGATCCCCCTCGGGCCACATGGGCACGACCACATACGCGCTGAACCGCTCCCCGCTCTTGATCTTCCTCGCGATTTTCAGCGCGATCTCCATGGGCACGCTGTTCCACGCGCCGCTGCCCTGGTGCGACGGCCACGCGTAGGCGGACCCGAGGAAGTACTGGTTCTCGATGTGTATGAAGTGGTGCGCTCGGCGGATCGCGGCGATGTATGCGTCTTGAATGCTGCGATCGACTGTCACTCCCTTGTCTCCCACCAGGGACTGAGTGGGTTGGGAAAGAGAGAGGGGAGATTGGGTGAGCAGGAGGTGGGGAGAGGGTGGGGCGAGGGGGGTGAGGGGGGTGAGAGGGGCGAGGGGGGCGAGGGGGGCGAGGGGGGCGAGGGCAGGGAGAGGGTGGGAGGAGGGTGGCAGAGGGCAGGGGAGAGGGTGGGAGGCAAGAGGAAGCAGGTATGCTCCCAGGAAGTACTGGTGCTCGATGTGTATGAAGTGGTGCTCGAGGGAAAGAGAGAGGGTTAGGAAAGAGAGAGGGAAGGGTGTGGGAGGCGGGAAATGGGTGCGGACGGGTGTGACCAACAAGGAGGGAAGACACAACGAGGCAGCAGGAGCGCGAGCGCGGCGGCGGCTGCAGTGGCTGCAGCGGCGGCAGCGGCGGCGGCGGTGGCGGCGGCGGCGGCGGCGGCGGCGGCGGCGGCGGCGGCGGCGGCGGCAGCAATGGGATGAGGCGTCACCTGTGCCATGGCGTGGAGAGGGTTCTTTGGAAAGCCCACCACTGAACCAGAGTCTATGGATCGAAACAACTGCCACAGGGGTTCGCCGGGCGGGGATGGGGAGAGAGGGAGAGGAGAGATGAGCCGCATGGGCAATGAGCCGCATGGGCAATGAGCCGCATGGGCAATGAGCCGCATGGGCAATGAGCCGCATGGGCAATGAGCCGCATGGGCAATGAACCGCATGGGCAATGAGCCGCATGGGCAATGAGCCGCATGGGCAATGAGCCGCATGGGCAATGAGCCGCATGGGCAATGAGCCGCATGGGCAATGAGCCGCATGGGCAATGAGCCGCATGGGCAATGAGCCGCATGGGCAATGAGACGTCAAAGTTACGTGATCTGCTGTTGAAGCGTCTGCAGCACAGCGCAGCACAGCACAGCACAGCACAGCACAGCACAGCACAGCACAGCACAGCACAGCACAGCACAGCACAGCACAGCACAGCACAGCGCAGCACAGCACAGCACAGCACAGCGCACCCCTACCTGTGTGTGCCACGTCTCGGGATCATCTGTCTCTGTCGCCATGACGCTCATGTCATCATCATCATCCACTGCCCTTGCTGCAGCGGCCCTGGCAGTAGCAGCATCAGCAGCGCCAGACGCGCCGCTGCCCACGCCGCCCCTCAGAGTGTGCAGCCTGCGCATCACCGTCTCCCTTATGCTCCTGCTCCGCCTCGCTTCCGGTGCTGCTGCTTGCGGTGCTGCCTCCGGTGCTGCTGCCTGTGCTGTTGCTTGTGTTGTTGCCTCCGGTGCAGCCTGTGCTGCTGCCTGCTGCTGCTCCGTTGCTGGGTCAACTCCCTGCCATCGTTCCTGCTCTCCAAGCTCCCTCCTTCCCTCCCCGCCTTCCTCCCTCCCCTCCCGGCTCACCTCAAACCTCTCACTCCCCCTCCCCTCCTCTCTCCCCATCTCCCCTCCCTCTCCCCCCGTCTCCCTCCTCTTCCCACTCACAAGCCTGCTCCGATACCCCCTCCCCACCTCCCCGCCAACCACGCTCCGCCTCCCCATCCTGTACCCCCGCTTATGCAGCACAGCCGCACTGGCATGCAGTGCCCGAATATCCCCGCGGTGCAGGCGCTTTCTGGGGGAGGCGCGAGCGCCCTTGGTGGCGCGCAGCCAGCGCTGCTCAAAGTTGGTGAGCAGGTCCCACACGATGGAGCCCTCCACTTTACATTGTATGTCGTGCCATGGCTGCCTCGGTCCCACGTCAGGTTTAGTCTGGTGTGGGGGGGGAAGGGAAAACAAAGGCAAGAGGGAGGGGTTAGAAGTTGGTAAGCAGGTCCCACACGACTGCACCCTCCACCTTGCATTGTATGTCGTGCCATGGCTGCCTCGGTCCCACGTCGGGCTTGGTCTGGTGTGGGCAGGGAGGGAACGGGAGGGATGGATCAGGGGAGGGAAGGAAGGGACGGGTTGGGGAAGCCAAAGATAGGCAAGGACGCTTTGAGAGGGATTCCCATGCTTTTGGGGGGAGGCCCGAGTGCCCTTAGTGGCGCGCAGCCAGCGGTGCTCGAAGTTGGTGAGCAGGTCGCACACGACTGCACCCTCCACCTTGCATTGTATGTCGAGTCGGGCCATGGCTGCCTGGGTCCCACGTCGGGCTTGTAGCTCTATGCATGCAGACGTTGGTTTCTGAGATAAGAACTACTATTCATGCATCGCAATCTTGAACCCTCCCTTTCCCTCTGCACTCTCACTCACTTGGCCCCCTGCCCCCCCACTCAGCACACCTTGACGTTGTGAAGCTCACAAGGTAGAAGCTGCCTCCCTTATACAACCACAACCACTCGCCCCCACATCCACATCTTTACACGCTCACTCCACACCCTATCTCCCCACCCCATCGCACCTTGACATTGTGTTGGTAAGATTCCCCCTGGTGTTGGTGTTCTGCATGCAGCCTGTGGAACAGCAACGGCCACTCACACATCGCACTCTCACCTCACCAGCCCACGCCCCCCACTCTCTCCCCGCCCACCAACCTTCCACCACCGCACCCTGACGTTGTGTTGGTACAAGTCCCCCTATTGCTCTGCATGCAGCGTGCGGAACAGCAACGTGTTGAGTGCACCCAACCCCCACCCAGCACACCCCCCACCCAGCACACCCAACCGCACCTTGACATTGTGTTGGTACAAGTCCCACTGGTGCTCCGCATGCAGCGTGCGGAACAGAAACTTACTCAGCCCATGCCCCCCACTCCCTCACCCACTCCCCACACCTTCCCCGACCCCCCAGCTTCTCACCTTGACTTTGTGTTGGTACAAGTCCCCCTGGTGCTGCACATGCAGCGTCTTTGCCAAGAGGATACATACAACCACACAGACTCTAACCCCACACCCTCACCTACCCCACTGTCGCACCTTCACGTTGTGGTGGTACAAGTCCCCCTGGTCCTGGTGCTCTGCATGCAGCGTGCAGACCAGATACGTGCTGAGAGCACCCCCCACTCACCACACCTTGCCGGCCGCCCCTCTGTGCGCACCTTGACGTTGTGCTGGTACAAGTCCCCCTGGTGCTCTTCATGCAGCGTGCGGAACAGAAGCGTGCCCAGCACACCCCCCACTCAGCCCATCTCCCCCGAATCCCCATCCCCGCCCCCCCACCCCACCCCACCCCACCGCACCGCACCGCACCGCACCTTGACGTTGTGTTGGTAGAAGTCCCCCTGGTGCTCCGCATGCAGCGTGCGGAACAGCGGGTGCTCCTGTGTGTCGTACCGCCCCACCGACAGGTCTATCCCGCCCATGAACCCCACCAGCGGCCGCCGCACCACCCTTGCTGCTCCTCCTGCTGCTGCTGCCGGTTGTGCTGGTGCTGCTGCTGCTGCTGCTGGTGCTGCGTCTGCAATGAGGAACTTCTGGTGGTGCGTGTACATGCTCTCTACGAGCTGGGAAGGGGGAAGGGGAGGAGAGGGGAAGAGTGGTTAAGTCAACTTAACAGTCAAGCCGAAAGGAGCGTTTGGTGGTGCGTGTACATGCTCTCTACGAGCTGCTGTGGGGTGGGAGGGGTATGAGTGTTAAGAAAAAAAACACATTCCAGTGAAAGCACGTAGGGTTTGACAGCAGCGTGGGGTACCAGGGGTATGGGTGTTTCACGTGCTGCAGTGTGTGTGCTGCAGAGCACATGAAGAACGCGTTACCACGAAGAGTGTGGTGCAGTGTGGGGCTACTTACCTGTTTGCGCGCCCAGGAGAGGCGTTTGTCGGGGATATGGGGCATCTTGAAGCACACCACCTTGGTGTGCTGTAGTGTGGTGAAGTGCGGTAATGTGCGGTGCAGTGCGGAAGACGAGTGGTAGCAAGGAAGAGCGGGACCTACCTGTTTCCTGGCCCAGGAGAGGCGCTTGTCGGGGATGCGGGGCATCTTGAAGCACACCACCTTGGTGTGGCGGAAGTAAGAGTAGGTCTCCTCGTCCAACGTTCCCATCATGCCCGCCTGCCATGCTCGTGTGTGGGGTGTGAGATAACCACACATAGATATGTGTTGGTGTGCGGGGGAAGTAGGAGTATGTTTCCTCGTCCAACGTCCCCATCATGCCCGCCTGCCATGCTCGTGTGTGTGGGACGGCCGTAGGTTATGGGGTATGGGATATAGGGTATGGGATATGGGGTATGGGGTATGGGGTATGGGATATGGAGTATGGACAAAAACAAGGAGTAATTCCCCTCGTCCAACGTGCCATGCCCATCCACCCCCTCTCCACTGCCCCACCATCCTCACCGTTCGGAAGGCGGCGGTGCTGAGCGACGTGCGGTCGTCCCAGATGAGCATGAGCACGCGCACGCCCTGCTTGGCCTTCTTGATCAGCAGCTGCCCCAGCGGCATGTCCCCGTGCTCCGGCATTGGGCGCGTTGCGTCGCGCATGAGCACGATCTTGGTGCTCACGGACCAGCCGCCTATGTAGATCACCTCTCGCGCATCTAGGATCGTCCTGGAAGAAGGGGGAAAAGGACAAGTAGAACAGGGCAAATGGCGTGGGGGGGGGATGGGGAGTGCCGCGTCGCGCATGAGCGCGATCTTGGTGCTCACGGACCAGCCGCCTATGTAGATCACCTCGCGCGCATCTAGGATCGTCCTGGAAGAAGGGGGAAAAGGACAAGTAGAACAGGGCAAATGGCGTGGGGGGGGGATGGGGAGTGCCGCGTCGCGCATGAGCGCGATCTTGGTGCTCACGGACCAGCCGCCTATGTAGATCACCTCGCGCACATCTAGGATCGTCCTGGAAGAAGGGGGAAAAGGACAAGTAGAACAGGGCAAATGGCGTGGGGGGGGGATGGGGAGTGCCGCGTCGCGCATGAGCGCGATCTTGGTGCTCACGGACCAGCCGCCTATGTAGATCACCTCGCGCGCATCTAGGATCGTCCTGGAAGAAGGGGGAAAAGGACAAGTAGAACAGGGCAAATGGCGTGGGGGGGGGATGGGGAGTGCCGCGTCGCGCATGAGCGCGATCTTGGTGCTCACGGACCAGCCGCCTATGTAAATCACCTCGCGCGCGTCGAAGATTGTTCTGATATATCAAGAAGGGCAGGAAGGGAGAAATGAAGAAGGAAGGGGAGAGATGAAGGGGGTAAGGGGAGAGATAAAAGGGGAAAGAGAGAGAGACAAAGGTGGAAGGAGAGAGATGAGGAGGTGTTGGGGGGAAAGAGAGGGGGGCATGGATTCCAGTGCGAGGGAGGATGGGATGGGAGGGATGGGAGGCATCAATGGAAAGGTGACTGAGTAGTAAGGCTCTCACTACACAAACTTGCACATACCCCTCATTAAACCTCAACCCTGAATGACAACCATAAAATTTTTAACATGTCCCCTTCTCCCCGCCTTTTCCCCTCTCCGCTCCCCCCTCCTCTCCCCTCACCCTCCAATCCACCCCACACCCCAATCCCCTGACTCCTGCGCTGCAACCCACCTGCAGATGTCCTCCCAGCAATACCCCTCCTCGTACGTCCTCCCCCCTTCCAGCGCCGCTCGCACCGCGAACGACGAGGACACGTGGCTGTCATGGTACAGCGTCACGCGGCAACCGCGGCGCAGCGGGAAGTACGAGTCCTCCACGCGCGAGTCGTGCCCCCAGCCCGCCCCGTACGCGGGGTCCTTTGCTACCGGCGCGAGGCGGAGCGACAGGCGCAGCTGCGCGGGGTGCGCGGACGGCGCGCGCCCCGACGTGGCAACGTCGAACCACGCGGAGACGGGAGTGTCGCCGCAGAGCGCGGCGGCCGGCACGATCGCCTTGCCGATGAGCTTCGCACCCACTGCGTCGTCGTCCTGGAAGAGAGAGCGGGGGGCGGGGGAGGAGGGGAGGGGGAAGAGCGGGGGAGAGAAGGGGAAGGGTGGGAATCGGATTATGATGGCACGATTGCCTTGCTGATGAGCCTCGCACCCACCGCGTCGTCGTCCTGGGGAGGCAGGGGCGAGAGGGGGGGGCGAGGGTGGAGGGGGATGGGAGAGGCGCGCGGCGGATTGGACGCGGGGGACAGTCAACTCTCTATGATGGCTACTACTAGTATTAGTAGGCAGCGAACAAATGGCATACGCTACGCCATGCGACACACATGCGACGCATGCGACACGCGCGGCGGCGCACCTTGAGCGTGAAGGAGAGCGAGGAGCAGTGGTGCGCGACGGGGATGCGGAAAGTCTCCTCCCACACGGGGTGCCGCTTGTTGTGCACCACTCTGCCACGGTGGGGGATGCAAGCACGGAGAGTTGACTTTTGAGTCGACTCAAAAGACAACCCGCTACAATGTCAGACGGGGATGCGGAAGTCTCCTCCCACACGGGGTGCCGCTTATAGTGCACCACCCTGGGGGCGCGCGCGAGCAGAGACGGACGGACGGCAAGGTAACTAAGTAAGAAACATTCTCGGTTTTCGAAGTGTTTTCAAGGTGACGGATGGACGCACGCGAGCCGAGGAGGAAGACAGGAGGAACGCGACAGTTGTTTGGATCATAAAGGTGGCCATGCGGTAATGGAGGGAGTGGAGGAACGGCGGAAGACTAAAAGCAAACGGAAATATCTGCATCGCCTCGTCAACTATAAAGACGTGTATTGCAAAAGTCGAGACGGACGAACTCGCCGAACAGGGAGACGGGGGAGGAGCGGGGAAAGAGGAGGGGGGGGGGGGGGGGAGAGGGGGGAAGAGGAGAACAGGGGCGAGTCGCGAATGGCAAGCGGACCTTGTGCGCGCGACACGGGCGGGGCCGAGGTAAATGGCGACGTAGGGATCATTGCGCGTGCCCTGCCACGAGAAAAAGGATAGTTGACGCGTCGCACGCGTGAAGCGCGCGTGACGCACGCATGGCAATGGATGGGAAGGATAGTTGAAGAACAGGGTCGATGATGTACCAAGTTGGAAATAACTGAACCGTACGCGTGAATAGTGAAACCCTGGCGGGCAGAATGTTCCTACAGTAAACCGTTAACCCAGACAAGCAGCCCCTTACGATTGGGTGGTGCGGTCGCGACGAACACGGTTGCGTGCACAGGGAGAAACACCTGTCCACGTGGAACGCGATCTTATCCATAGTCGGGATGTTTCGCGCCTCGTGAACAGTGACCTCGAGAATGCCGTGCAGGAGAATAGCGTCGGTCGAGTCGTCCAGTGTCGGCGCCGCATCCTCGTCTTCTGCGGTCTCGTTTTCCTCATCGGAATCCTCAACATCACTGTAGTCCTCGAATTCCTCGTCAGTTACGCGCTTCGGGTTCTTAAGATATTGCGGGTCCTCCGAACCCGAACGAACTTCGTGGACGCGCGCCTCGAATCGTGGGTCCATGGATAAAGATGTCTTTAAACTCTTCGTGGAAAATGCTACACCTCGATTGCTTCCTCTTTGAGGTTTGGTTTTGATCAATAAAACGTCACCAGGAAAGAGTCCGATCGCTAAGGTTGTAAACTACGGAAACATTTCACGGCAAAGACGGCAGAGACACAAAAAAAAATCGCCAAAAGCTAAAAACTACTGCATGCAAATGGTATTTATTGCGAACCGCGCGGACTAGCAAACCAAGATTATCTAGTGCAAGATGAGTCGAGGTGAGAGCTCTTGCACTGCTCCTCCCGTCTTTACCATTGTCGAGCAATGCTGGATGGATGGGTAGGCCGAGGCCTTATACTAACTGAGGAACATCAAAACTCGTTTCTGATGGACGTCTTTCCGGAACAATTTAGTTAAGAGCAGTAACTGTATCGCTTACTCAAGCACTGACTCCTCTCCTCGTCCTGCTTGGCGCATCAGCGCACTGTCGGAAAATGTCTTCGATTTTTCGTCCTGCTTGGCGCTCATCCTCTGCGAGGCTCGAGGCGCGCCCATTAGCGCCATTCGACATTGGACTGCGTGCATGTGGAAGGTGAAGATTGGCGTGCCACCTGGAGTGATCAGGGGTTGGCGTATTGCAACAAGGGGTACCAGCCAGCGCACGAATTCTTCGTCTGCCCGATATCAGAAACTCCGCAACTGTTTCATAGCACACACTGTCATGGGAGCAAATATTTATCAATACCAAGTATTCTGTGCTACAGATGATTTTGGGCTCAGAGTTTTTCCGTGGGCCGTCAACTTCTGACATGCGATCAGTTTCCAAGATGCAATCTGTCGCCAAGCCATATCATGAGTGGTCGTGCGACGCCATGCGACAGGTTGGGCGACGTGAGAGTCGATGTCATCCGAGACTTCGACGTCGAAGACGCATCGAAGTTGTCGTACGATAGTTTCTTTAATCGGTACATGCGAAGAGGCTATCCCGTTCTCATCCGTGGCGTGGCAGACAAGTGGCGTGCGTTCCGCGAATGGCGATGCGAAGACGGCGGGCCGAACCTGCCGCTGATGCGAGACACGTTCGGAGATTCGCGAGTACAGGTGAAGGCGGACTATAGATCGTGGCCACATATGGCGCTACTATTGTCAGGTTAGCATAGATATGGCGAACAGAAACGGGGAAAGATGGAATTAGTGTCGATCGTTGAGCACGAGCATGCACCCCGCGTGTGCCCGTCATCACCGCTCGGCACCCCTCAGCGCCACTCGGCACCGCTGACGCGTGGTGGTTGTGTGCGCGTGCGGTGTTGTGGCGCAGGTGGCGGTGTGCGGCGAGCAGCAGTTCACGGACCAGCGGCGCGTGACCATGACCGTGCGCGAGTTCGTCGCGCAGTGGGAGCGCGCCAACGCGCGGGCGGCGGAGAAGGGGGCGGAGGGCGCGGGGGAAAGAGCGGGCGAGAGCGCGGGGGACAGGGCGCATGCGGGGAGCACGCGCAATGGTGCTGGCGAGGGCGAGGGTGGGGATGGAGAGGAAGGGGTGTATTATCTCAAGGACTGGCACTTCACACATGTGCGTGTCGTGATGGGCATGTGTGGGCATGTACTGATTTCCTCCTACGTGAAGCGAGGTTGATTTTGAGACGTCTCAAAAACTACGCACCTGCCTTTCGTCTTCTTCCTTCCTCTTCCCAATTGACTTTTGAGTCGACTCAAAAATGCCTTTCGTCTTCTTACTTGCCTTCCTCTTCCCAATTGTGAACGTGGCAAATTCTTCCTCCCGTTTTTTTTCCTCCCCCCCAATGACCATTCTTCGCTTTTCCAATGCCCCGTGGTGTCCCCTCACTGCCAAAACCACCTATTGTTTGACACAACACCATGCTCATACACTCCCACTGTCACCTAGTATCATGATGTCTTAAAAGGCCGAATACGGAGCACCATGTCTATACACTCCCAATTTCACTTAGCTGCTGCCTCAAATAGACAGACCCCCCACCCACCCCCCTTCTCCCTCCCTATCACTTCCCATCCCCCCATCAGGACCACCCATCATACGGGGCATACACCACGCCCATCTATTTCCACGACGACTGGCTCAACTGCCATGCAGACGCCCTCGCCTGCTCCTGCCCCCACTGCTCCCCCGCCGCCGCCCCCGCCGCCGCCGCCGCCACCAACGCTCCTCCTGCTGATGCCGACGCTGCTGATACGGCCGGTGCTGCCCCTGCCCCTGCTCCTGGTGCAAGCGCGCACAGCAGTGCCTCTGAGCCAAGTGGCTGTGAGGAGGGGGTAGAGTCGAACGGCCAGTCGGCTGTGGACGCGGATGGCTCCGCCTGCTGCTCCGATTACCGCTTTGTGTACATGGGGCGAGCGGGTGAGCTTTGTGTACATGGGGCGAGCCGGTGAGCTTTGTGTACATGGGGCAAGCCGGTGAGCTTTGTGCCGTTCCGTGCCATGCCTTGCCATGTCAATTCGTGCCTTGCCGTGCCATGTCATACCATGCCATGCCACATCATGACCTGCATGTCGTGTGATGTGATGTGATCCTTGGCACATGCCGACGACCGACATGTCGCGACATGCCAAGCATATCCGCTCTCGTCCAACCCACCCAAGCGTCTTTCTTCTTGGCGCTATGTCGTGCTATCCGACCGAGCACATGTTGCCCACAACGCACGCAGGCACCCCTCAGTGAGGATACGCCTTCCGTCCGTCTTCTCATCTCCCCCCCTCTCGCTCTTTTCCCCTTCCGTTTGTCATGCCTGCCTGGCGCCCATCAGGCACATGGACCCAGTCCAGCTGGACCCAGTTTTGAGATGTTGCTTAAACAACGTCTCAGAGCACGTGGTCCCACCCCACTCCTCACTGACGTCCTGCACATGTGGGGTGTCTGCGTTGGTGATACTACAGCTGGAGTGGCAATGTGTGCGTGTGCAAGCATCAGCATATGCGCCCCCTCTCTTTTTTCCCTGCCTCTCACCCTGGAGATCAGGCATGTGGACGCCTTGCTACACAGGCGTCCTGCGCTCCTACAGCTGAGTGTGAACGTGTGCGGGCCGCAAGTGCTCACTCTTCCTCTCGAGACAACTCGAAATTTTGCCTCCGCCCTTCCCCCCTTTTTCCCTGCCCCTCACCCCGCCCTATCAGGCACGTGGACCCCTCTCCATACGGACGTGCTGCGCTCCTACAGCTGGAGCGTCAACGTGTGCGGGCGCAAGCGCTGGCTGTTCCTGGATCCGGGTCAGGGTCACTACATGCGGCACAAGCACACACGGGCCACCGTCTATGACATCGACTCCCCTGTCCACCCCAATCTCTTTCCTGAATTTCACAAGGTGAGGTGAATGCTCCTCACAAACACACTCACACTTTCTTGCAAGTCTGGAACGGGGTTGGTTGGGTTGGGCGCACTCGTGCCACTGTCTGTGACATCGACTCCTGTGTGGTGGCCACACAGTTTCCAGATTTCCACAAGGTGAGTGCTCCTAACATTCTTGCAGTTCTGAATGGGGGGCTGGGTTGGGCGAGCTGTGTGTGTGCGGCACAAGCACACGCGCGTGCCACTGTCTATGACATTGACTCCCCCGCGTGCCATCGACCAAAAGTAGTCTCTTTCCCGACTTTCACTTGGTGGGTGCCCTCACAAGATCCCAATGAAACGAGCGTCACAGAAGTCACGATCTGTTAAGGCGTCTCAGAAGTTCACAGGGCATCAGTTCCCGAATGGTCCCCACGCGTGCAAGCCTCCATGCCTCCACGCCTGCATGCATACCTGCACACCTGCTTACAACCAGAGATCCTAAACAACACGAGTTGATGGAAGTAAGGCCTCCGCAGCCCACCTGTCCTCTCTTGACAGCGCCTGCATGCATACCTGCACACCTGCTTACAAACGCGCACCCGATCCCACCCCATTCCACTACTGGACTGAATATTTTAGGCGCCTCAAAAATCATACACGAGGCACACCCCACCCACCCCTCTACTGGGTTCGCAAGCCCCCAATCTCCTCGCTTCCACTCCCCTACTCTCCTCTCCACCCCACCAGGCGCGCTGGTGCATGGTGGAGCAAGGAGCAGGGGACGCCATCTTTGTGCCCAGCAACTGGTTGCATCAAGTCACCAACCTGGTCAGCCCGCCTCACTCTGTAACAAGGTGACTCTTGAGTCGACTCAAGAGTCATCAAGTCACCAACCTGGTCAGCCCTTCCCCCTAGTTCACTACTCACTCCTTCTCTTCTCTCTCCTCTTTCCACTCCTCGCCCTTGCCCCTCTTCTTCCCTGCATATTGACCCCTCGTGCTCATCCCCTCCCTTCATCGCGCCTCCCCTCCCTGTCTCCCTCCTCCTTCTCTTGCCCCTTATCGCCCTTCCTCCCTTCCCTCGCCGCTCTCGGCCCCTCCACACCCCTCCTGTCCTGAGAACTCATGATTCTCTGTGATTGTCAGCTTTTGAAGAGGCTATGCTTTTTCTTAGGTGGGTTACGTTTTGCTATTGTGAGGAACGGTCTCACTCTGCTCTCTTTTCTCGCAGCAGTTCCGAATAACCGGTTCCCAGTTCCTAAAATTCCGTTCCCAGTTTCCAATACCTGTTTCTGTACAACGTGGAGTGCTCCCTCTCCTCCTCCCCCCCCCCCCCTCCCCCTCCCACCCTGACTGCTTCCCCCCCTGTTTCCACTTTCTCTTTTCTCTCCCACCTCCCTCCCTCCTTTATCTTTCCCCTCTCTTTTCACTCTCTCCATCTCGTTCTCTTCTCTCCTCCCTCCCTCTCTGGCTGCTCTGGTATTCCGCCTGGCAAGAAATGACCATCTTTTTCATCCATCAACCACACAACTGGAGCAACGCCTTCTGCTGAGGCCCTCCTGCTCTCAAAACAGTCATTTGTATTGATTCAGGCGAGGAACAAATGTGCAGATTCCCATGCTCTCACTCTTTCTTTCGCTTCTCTCCCCTTCCTCCTCCGTCTTTTCCCCCGCCTGACAGGAGGACACTATTTCCATCAACCACAACTGGATCAACGCCACTAACCTCATGCACACTGTATGGCATGCATATTCATCGCTCACATGCACTCACACACGCGTGCACACACACACACACACACACACACACACACACACACTCAGACACACACGCACATATACACGCACACACACACACACATACACACGCACAGACACACACACACACACACACATACACACGCACACACACACACATATACTCACACACATACTCACACACACACACATACTCACACACATACTCACACACACACACATACTCACACACATACTCACACACACACACACACATACTCACACACATACTCACACACACACACATACTCACACACACACACACATACTCACACACACACACACATACTCACACACACACACATACTCACACACATACACACACACACATACACACACACAATACTCACACACATACTCACACACACACACACACACACACACACACACACACACACATACTCACGCACATGCACATGCCTGCTCGCGCACGCAGAGAACTATTGTTGAAGGCGTAAATGCCCAGTGTCACGTTTATCCTCTCTCTAACCATGCGCTCAGCTCCTTTCTCAATCATTTACCCTCCATGCAATCTATTTACCCTTCTATATGCGTGCTTCTGAAGTCAACAACCACTCCCCCTACCATCTTTCCCCATCCCATCCCCTCCGGCATTGTCAATCATTGAAGAAGTGAGTTCAGCAGTTTGAGAATCTTCAACAGCCGCCCTGTCCCCACCCACCCCATTTTCACCTGCCGCTTTTCCACCCACCCCATTTTCACCTGCCGCTTTTCCACCCACCCCATTTTCACCTGCCGCTTCCCCACCACCCCCATTTTCACCTGCAGCTTCCCCACCCACCCCATTTTCACCTGCCACTTCCCCACCTACCCCATCTCCGCCCACCCTATCCCCACTCCACTCCACCCCGAACCCCCCTACAGTGACGTCTGTTGAAGGAGGGCGAGCAGGAGGGACGTGCAGCAATCTGGGACTTGCCTACCACCACCTCCAACCCATCCCCACCCACTCACTCCACCCACTCCATCCCAACCACCCTCAACCCACCTGCAGTGGCGTCTGTTGAAGGAGGACGAGCAGGAGGCGCGTGCAGCGATCTGCGATGTGGAGGAGATGGTGAAGGCGGGGCAGATGACAGAGAGGGAGTTTCAGCAGCTCGTGCAGCGCAACCTCATGGCCAACTCGGGTGCGTGATGGATGGAGGGTTGATGCGTGGGTGTGCGTGGTGTGTGTGGGTGTGTGTGGTGTTTGGGGGTGTGCGTGGGTGTGCATGTGGGTGAATGTGTGTGCATGTGTGTGTATACAAACCCATGAATTGTTGGTGAATTTTCTGTAGCTCCTTCTCTTGGTGCCTCCACAACCCCTCCCTTTCATCCCTCCCCACCAGGGATAAATTACTCTTCCTTCTTCTCTTTCTGCTCAGTGTTTGCTGTTCAAGCCATGCACACCACACCGCACTGCAAGAAGCATGGCGAACAAACCCCCCCACTCCCTGCATTCCTCTCCCTTGCATGCCTCGTCCCTCCCCACCAGGGATGAACTACACTTCCTTCCTCTCTTTCTGCTCTTTCTTCGCCGTGCGAGCCATGCGCACCGCGCTCCAAGAAGCATGGCGATCCGAGAAGGAGGACCAAGTCATAGACGCACCGGAGGCGCGAGTGAAAGAGCTGGAAGCCAGATGGACACAGAGCATGGGATCGTCCGAGGACAAGGAGGGGGGGTTGACAGAGGAGCTTGGAAGGGGCTTGAGGAGCAGAAGGGGAGGGAGTGGGGGAGGGGTGCAGCAGGGGGCTTTGCAGGGGGGTGTGCGGGGGGGTGTGCAGGGGGGTTTGCCGGTGTTGCTGCAAGCGAAATATGACCTGTATGAGATTGCAACTGTTCTGGATGATATGGTTCTCACCAAGTGGTATCAGCAGGGGCTGTGGCAGAGGGATGGGGAGGGAGGTGTGGAGGGGAAGGGCGTTGAGACGGGAGAGGAGGAAGAGGAGAAGGGAGGGGGGGAGGAAAAGGCGGAAGGGGAGGAGCAAGGTGCAGTGAGGCCCTCCAAGCGCTTTTGCTCTATATGCACCGCAATATGGAAACGATTGGCCAAGCGATGCACGGATCACTTAACCAGATTGGACAGCAAGAGAAGGGTGATTTCTAACCTGTATCGGGTGCTGGGAATGGTCCTAACAGATGTGGCAAGCCATGAAGAATTGGGAACAGGTCAGAGTCAGTGCATGTGTCAGGAAGTGTGTGGGTGTGAGAGAGGTTATTGCTTGAAGATTGGTGAGGAGAAGGCTGAGTTAGGACCGTTCAGGCTTGCCATGCTTTGTAGAATCGTTGGAGAGCCGTTTGAAGGTGGTGACAATTTGTTCTTCAGATGGAGTTAGGGTGCAGTGTACATGCGAAGAGTGTACTGGAACAAGAGAGTTGAGATAGATTCCACAGTGTGCAGTGGCTCAAGGGTGTGATTCTTGAGCAGGCGAGTAAGATCTTGAATAGCTTCTACAGGGAAACGATCTTGACGACAACACAGGGTACCAAACTTACAACTTGAATACGGTACCGACGAAAATCGTTGTAAGTTTGGTACCGTATTCAAGTTGGCTAGCGCTCTGTCTGTACCGTACCAAGAATCAGAATCCGCCTAAGAAAATGGGAAGAAAGATATCGAGAACTAAATATCAATCTGATTTAGGACAAAAAAGTTTGCATACATGCCAATTTATAAATATTGTATCTTATGTGGGGAGGTGCTATGTTTGGAAGGAGCCTTGCTTGGCTGACAAATAACCTAGCAGTTTCTTCACGTAATAGGGGGTACAAAGGCTCCCCGCGTTGAGGTACAGCGACATTCCAAATGATGTGTACTGTACTGCACGTGCTTCCACCGCCGAACCGACCTCGAGCCAAGACAACCAACCCAAGACCAACCAAGCTCTACACCTGGCCCGCGCCAATTTCAGACCCCGTCAATTTTGGCATTAAGCCCATTTGGACCTTTTTTGGCTTTGGGGATCAGACACCCAAGGAACTAGAGGCTATCCGTGGCATTGTAAAATTATAAATTGAGAAAGCTTGCTTTCTTTCTTATCAATTGGCATCGTTCTCATTACAAACGGCATCGTTCTCATTACAAATGGCGTGTTACAACATTTGCATCATCGTTCGACATAAGCTAGTGCGGACTAATAACACTAGCTATTATGTACCCTATCCAAGTGGCATTAGCAAGGCGGTTTACACTGGGGTGGGTGGTGGGAATGTTGAGTGAGCCGTTTGAAAATTGAGAAACGTGGGTGGAGGGAAATGAGCTCCAACCCACGGTTTTTGTAGTTGGAGAAGGGCGTTTAGCGCGCTTCGACGGTGCCAATTGTGCAGTACAAGCAGCTTCGCTTTCACAATACACAATTTTAAAAAACACTACATGTGTGTTTAAAAATTATAATATTGAGAAAGCTTGCTTTCTTTCTTATCAATTGGCATCGTTCTCATTACAAATGGGGTCTCTGAGACATGGGCAGCGGGGGCCTCCGGTTGCGTACGAGTGCCTCTGTGTGTTGCGCCGATGACACCGCATGCGTCGAATCTTGTAGGGCACGGGAGGCTTCGATGAGGGGCTCGACGTATGGCGTAACATACATTTCCTTTGCTGTGTCGCTTCGCCATCTGCCCAGCCGTTTGAAGACTCTGTCTGGCACTCCCGTGTTGGCTGCTACTGTGGCTGCACCTTTTCGGAAAGAATGGGTGCCTAGCTGCAACTCTCCAAGGCCAACCTTTGCGAAGGCTTCCTTGCACCAGTTCCGGATCGTAGTGTATGAAGGTGGCCTAGCCTGGCCCTCGCTGGTTGAACCGTGACCGAAGACACGAATCAATGGTCCCTCTGACCGTGGGCCATAGCCAGCGAGTCGGATGAAGCGTCGGGTGCAGCGCACTGGGCAGCAGGGGTCCGCCGTTGCTGCAATGGGTATCCAAGTGCCGTGACCAGCTTGATCGGTCTTGGAGTGTGGTATGAGAATCCACATGACCTCGTCGTCGAATTGGATGTCTTGCCATTTTATGGCTACTAGGTCAGAGTATCGCAGGAATCCGGAGTACATGAGGATGGGTATCAACCCTTTCTGAAATTGCGCAGGATCGTCGGACTGCAAGTAGCTCGCGGCCATTTCCTGGACTTGTTGGATCGAGACGGGTTCCTTCAGACGAGTAGGGCGTGGGCAGTGTCGCTTTGCATAGTCACAGACTTGGGTGGTGAACGGTCCGGTTGTCGGGCATTTGCTCCCGGTCATGCGATGGGCGAAGCTGACCGCCGAGCAGGTTAGCTGCACTACGGACAAGGTGGCTTTGCGCCGGATTGCGTGTACCAGGTATAGCGCGAGGGTCATGTCGGATGCCGGGAGGAATGGAAGGTTCACTTTTGTGCAGAAGGCCCGAAACTTGGCCCAGTATGGTTCATATGTCCGGATCGTAGAATCGGCGCGGGACTGCGCGAGCATGTTGATCAGTTGGTCGTGTAACTTTGGGAGCAAATCTGAACACAAGGTGTATATATATTGAATTAGTCAAATGCCACTCGCAGTGCAATGATTGGGCTGTGCGGTAGTCCCATGCCCGAAAAAGCAGTTGAATGGGACCCTACGTCTAGGCATTGGCTTCCGTGTGTCAGAGGGATGTGCGCGTGGATGTGTGGTGCCCAAGTGCGTGGGGAGGGTTGCAAGAGTGGCCACCAGCTTGCGCCTGGCCAGTGCGGAACTATCAGTGTGAGTGATGCATGGGTGCGTTGTGCGTGATGGAGGACGGTTGGGACCAGTTGAGGTGGGGGGAAGGCGAAGTTGTTTTCAGGTGTCCACGCGATCGAGAACGCATCAACTGCAATGGCTGCCGGGTGGGGAATCTTTGAAGAGAAGCGCGGCAGTTGGGTGTTGCGGGAGTTTGCGAAAAGGTCGATGGAGTGAGGACCCCAACGACGTTCCAAGATCCGGAACCACGGCGTTTTCAGCGCGTAATCGTCGTGGTCGACCATTTTTGAAAGCTCGTCGGCGTGTGTGTTGAGCTCGCGCGGAATCCATTCAATGATCAAGCGCGTGCCAAGCGCCATGCATGTTCGGATGATGCTCTTGCATGCCGTTGTGAGGTCGGGGCTGTGAGAACCGCCTTTGCGAAGGATGAAGAATACGCCCTGGTTGTCCACCCGCACGAGAACGTGTTTTTGCTTGATCTTGTTCGCGTACGTTTGTAGCGCCCAAAGGACGCCTTCGATCTCCCGTCGCGTGCTGGACGTTCCTCGTAGCGGCTCTGACATGGTTGCGCTAGCTTCTTCGATGCCACCCGGAAATGTGGTCAGAGTGGCGCCCCAACCATGAGAGCTGGCATCCACGTGGATTACCCCGTCGTAGCTGTTCTTGACGTGAAAAGGTGCGCCGTTGAAACGGTCGAACTCCTCGAGCCAAAATTGGAGCTCTTCTGCTGCAGATGGGGGGATAACGACGCTGCTTTTCCATGACGGTGCGTCGTCGATCACTTGTAACATAGCATGGCTGAATGCGCGAGCTGTCGCGCCAAGTGCGACACCCATCGATGCGAGCATGCCAGTGATTCTGGCCACGTGGCGGACCGGGACTGGTCGGCATGCCTTGCTTGCGCTCAGGAGGTTCCGGATGGTTGCATGTAGTGAGGCTCGTCGGTCCGGACCGATGGAGAATCGGCCGGTATCGGTCTCGAGTTCTACGCCCAGGAATCGGAGACGCTGCGATGGTGACAGTTGTGATTTCTTCGCGTTTATCACAAGGCCTGCCTCTTTAAGATCCAATATCACCCGCTGGCAAGTTGCTTGCGCGTCCTCTTTCGACTGGCAGAGAAATAAGATGTCGTCCACGTAAGGTACGACTCGGATGCCTTGTTCTCGCCAACGCCGAGCTAGTTGCTTGATGAGCTGCGTGAAAACGAATGGAGCTGTCGCGAGGCCAAATGGTAGTGAACGGAATGCGTATGTGCGCTTATCAAATTCAAAGCCAAGGAACTTCCAGCACGATGGGCGGATGTCGATGTGGTGGTAACCAGATTTGAGGTCAATGGAGAACATCCAGTCCCCAATGCGTGCAAGGTCGGCGACGCGGCTGAGCCCTTCGTACTTGAACTTGGGGATGATCAAGTTGGCGTTGACTTTCCTCAGATCAAGAATGAGCCTGCATTTGTCTTTTTGCTCGACCACGTTGAGTGGACTTATGCATGTAAGGTCCGTTGCGGCCATCGGAATTGCCGCTCCCGTCTCTATGAGTTCTTGGATGGCGGTACGTGTGAACGTGGCATGCGTGTTTGCCCCGACATGATTGCGATCGTGGAAATGTTGCGGTGGGCCGTGGCTCCATGGCAACCAGTAACCCTTGGCGATGACGGAGAGGACAAGGCTGCTGGGGCACCATGAGCTCCACCACGCAAATGTCGCGCGAAGACGACCGCGCATGTGTGTAATAGTTCTGTCTGTAACGGCAAATTCGTACGGATCGTCGTGGCATGCCGCCTCGCACCGTCGTGCTCCTGTACATTTGAGGCCAAGTGGTATAAGCTTTGAGTATTCCACGTTAAAGCATGCGTGTGCATGTACTTGTACGGGCAACCATTGATCGAAGGTGTGAAGAGAATGAACAATTGAATGAAATGTCAATGAATGTGTCGGGTGTCAGACTTTATATTATTTATATTTGTAACTGCCTGTAGCTGTAGTTAGTGTAGTTATTGCAAATTTTGTTAGGTGGTGCACCCTTTTGTTTCCTATGCTATATGTTCCTTGAACCTATAGTGAAACCAACTTTTCACCTTCACAACTTTCTCGACTCTCCCCCCTTGGGCCCAACTCACTCGATACCTAAGTTGGGCCTAGGCTCCTAAGCCTAGGCCCTTACGTTCTAATTTCTTTAACATGGTTATCAGAGCAGTTTGGTCCTGGCCTGTGGGCCCGACCAAAGCTTCCGCTGCTGAATTTCTGGTCGCGCGCCTCGGGCGCGTGACGTCTTTTTTTTCTACCCGTCGCGGACCCGCCCCTGGCGCCCGCGACGGCGCTCTGAGCCGTCGCGGACCCGCCTCTGGCGCCTGCGGCGGTGCCCTGAGCCGTCGCGGACCCGCCTCTGGCGCCTGCGGCGGTGCACTGAGCCGCCGCGGACCCGCCTCTGGCGCCTGCGGTGGTGCCCTGCGCCATCGCGGACCCGCCCCTGGCGCTCGCGGCGGTGCCCTTGAGCCGCCGCGGACCCGCCATTGGCGCCTGCGACGGTGCTTTCCGCACCTGCATTCCCTGCAGCTCCCCCTGACCTACCTGCATCGACCCTATCTAGCCGCTCTGCGGCTTTCTTCCCGCCCACCCCCTCCTCCTTCATCTCCCTGCAGCCGTGGGGGG